GGTTTTTAAATCGAAATCACAATTTGGACTAGCGCAGTTAGATGCAAGTTTTTAAGTAGTTTAGGAAATTTTACCTAATAACAGGGAGCTTGTGAACTCCTGTGACATCACGACCGCAAATAACCGGCAGGCTGGCGCACTGTGTTAAGAGTTCAGGTCTCGAGCCAGAAAGAATATATCGCTGTTGTCGGACAAAACCTCGTATCTTCATTTTTGTTTTTCATTTTTTGACATAGTTGGAAAAAGACAGCTGCCCTTTACGTTGTGTCATGACGAAGGGACCAACAGAAGTGGTCCAGAATTACTTGGAAAAAATTATTTCTCCATTTATTTCAATTTAAAGTTAAGAGCGTTTTTCTTTTCCTGTAAAGTCACCTTTCTGAAGATATGAGGTTTTGTTCCGACAGCAGCGATATGCTGGTCTTTTTAGCCAAAAAAGGCCCAGACCTCTATATATACCTCAGTTATAAACAGTTACAGTTGAGATCGTAATCGCAATATTGGTCAGAAAAATCGCAATTTGAAATTTTGCCAAAATCGTTCAGCCCTAGTTAGCACCATGAAGATTGATTGGGTTAAGCTTTCATTACTTGTTAGCTACTTTAACCTTGTAGCTAAAGAAGCAAACTTCAGACACCAAACATATCAGATGGTCTACATTCAGGGTGGGTGGGAGGGGTTTAAGATCAGCAGTTCTGGTGGTGAGCAGGCACTGTGGCTCTTCTCTCCTGGAACACAACTCCTCCTCTGAGCTAATCTCAGCTTTGTTAAAGCCTTCTTTCCCTCCTCCGTTCACTCACTGCAGTGAGAAACTCCCTGCTAGACTCATCTCTCACTTAGCTGTGATTGAGGGTGTGTTTGGGGTGGGAACTCTGGACTCCTTGGACGTCAGATGAGGTGTTTGGACTGTCTCTGTGGTCCTGCTGAAGGGTGGACATGAGGACGGAGGGTTTTTGTGCATTTGCGGAAATAGAACAAGTCTAACCTACAGGGCTGAAAACGTGCTCCTGACAAAAAATACATATTTTATTTTATATTTTAAAGAGCAAAGATATATATATATAATATATATATGTGTGTGTGTGTGTGTGTGTGTGTATATATATATATATATATATATATATATATATATATATATATATATATATATATATATATATATATATATATATATATATATACACCTCCTTGTTTCTGCGCTCATTGTCCATTTTATCAGCTCCACTTACTATATAGGTGCACTTTGTAGTTCTACAGTTACAGACTGTAGTCCATCTGTTTCTCTGATACTTTGTTAGCCCCCTTTTACCCTGTTCTTCAGTGGTTAGGACCCCCATGGACCCTCACAGAGCAGGTACTGTTTGGGTGGTGGATCATTCTCAGCACTGCAGTAACACTGATATGGTATTGGTGGTGTGTTAATGTGTGTTGTGCTGGTCTGAGTGGATCAGACACTGCAGTACTGCTGGAGTGCTTACCTTTATTCCAGCTTCCATTCTGTTCAGGAGACTCACTTTCAGTTCCTCAAAGAATCTGCAGACACACCTCCAAAGTTCAGTCTTAGAAGCTGGTTGATGATTTTCTGAAGTAATCAAACACATTCAGTGGTGTTGAGGTCTGGACTCTGGGGTGGTCAGTCCATCGTTCAGCTTCTTTGTTTGATGTGTCCGTCTCCTTTTCTCAGTGAGGTTCTTCTTGATCAGCTACACATCCTTTCAGACCCACAGCGCTGAGTCGTCTTCTCACAGTGGAAGGATGGACAGAAACACCTGTGGATGTTTTCAGATCTGAAGCAGCTTGATTTTCTCCTCTCTCTCAGAGATGAAAGCTTTAAGTGCTGTTTATCTGATGGGGGGCAGTTTTGGGGTCTAACAGGTCTTCCAGGTGGTTGTTAGGAGACACATTTTCTCTGTAGCTTTTAATCAGATTTTGAACTGTTTTCATGTTGGCTTTCTCCTTCCTTATGTGACTGTATTATCTTATGTCTAATAAAAGTGCTGTAAAACTAAAGAAGCAAATCTGAGACACCAGACGTGTTTTGACTGGCCCGCTGCATCTCGGGTTAAAGGGAAAATTGGGTAAATGGGATTTCACGCCAAGCTTTTCATTTAGAGAGTAGTGATTGATGTTAAACTGTCTGATAAGCCCCGTCCCCACACTCCACAAATGAAAAGACAAAAGATGTTGTACGTACATCTCAGTTTTTCAGGTTATAATTAGACCAAACCAAGCAGGCACATTCCCAACTTTGTAGTTTCACTTTCATCAGGACACGAACTCACACAACCACAACATGCTGGTAAACATTGTTCTATCATTAGCGAAGCAGTGAGCTGTTTTTTCCACGACTGAAGTGGGAGTTTAGCGTGTTGGACGGCTTTGCCAGCTCCCAATAGCTAATTTTGTTCTGCTCGGTCAGTGGAATTATACTGGTTGTCATTGTTTACTAAAATCACCGTTATCAGCTATAATGAGCTCTTTAACACCTTTTAATCGAGCACTTTAAATACACACCTACTTAACTCCCACATCTCTCCAGTCATCTTCATTCTGACTCATTTCTGGCCACCAGATTAAAAGAGACCAGCATGAAAGGTGAAGTTTGTGTCCCTTTACTATTGGGTCAACATTCTGGGTGTAAAAATATATCATTTTCGCCCTTAACATTTATTTAGTTGTTGGTTTATAGATTTTATTGTTGCGTTGGTTGGTCTACATGACACTAAATGACGCAAGTGTCATTTGAGAGGCTCTTCAGGCCTGTAGGTTAGGGAATAGGGGAGCCCAAACTTTTGTTTTTGGAGGACACAGTTTGTGTTTGTGGCAGGCTGAAGGCCAAAGCGAAAAAAACGGATGTAGACAAAGAAGTGAGGGCTTAGGGCTCAGGGTTTAATAAGTGAGGGTTTAGGCCCGAGGGATTCAGTAACAAGGTTTTAGGGCTCAGTGTTTAAGAAGCGAGGGTTTTGGCTCAGGGCTTCAGAAGCGAGGGTTTTGGCCCGAGGAGTTCGGCCCGAGGGGTTCGGAAGCGAGGGTTCAGGCCCACGGGGTTCGGAAGCGAAGGTTCAGGCCCGAGGGGTTCGGAAGCGAGGGTTCAGGCCTGAGGGGTTCGGAAGCGAGGGTTCAGGCCGGAGGGGTTCGGAAGCGAGGGTTCAGGCCTGAGGGGTTCGGAAGCGAGGGTTCAGGCCTGAGGGGTTCGGAAGCGAGGGTTCAGGCCTCAGGGGTTCGGAAGCGAGGGTTCAGGCCTCAGGGCTTCGGAAGCGAGGGTTCAGGCCCACGGGGTTCGGAAACGAGGGTTCAGGCCCGAGGGGTTCGGAAGCGAGGGTTCAGGCCCGAGGGGTTCGGAAGCGAGGGTTCAGGCCCGAGGGGTTCGGAAGCGAGGGTTCAGGCCCGAGGGGTTCGGAAGCGAGGGTTCAGGCCCGAGGGGTTCGGAAGCGAGGGTTCTGGCCTCAGGTCACTGAGGCTGTGCAGGTCTGCTGTCGGCTGTCAGTGATGTCCTCATCGGGGAGGATTAACACCGGCGTTAATCACAGGCGCTGTCGGCGTGTGGGGGTGGCGCTCCTGCACTCCTCTCATCCCTCGGTTCTCTGCGTGAACACGCTCTGGTGTGCGCTCTCTACTCTGGGTTTAGTGCTCAAGGTGACCTCAGTGATCCTGTGCCTGAGGGACTTTCCTAACAGCCATCAGTGATTTGATTGTATCTGTTGACTCTTTAAACTCTATGCGTCAGTTTCCCAGACGTAGATTAAGCAAAATCTTAGACTAAATTGCAGTTAAAGTCATGAATCACCATTAGAGAGTTTTCAGTGCGGCTGGGAACGTTGTTACCTGTCAGAGCGTCTCTCCAGCCTGAAACAGTAGATAGGCTTGTGCTCCTTTCATGAAACCCGTAAAGAACTCTGTGGTTTTGCACTTTTCTGAATGTAAGCAGGTCATGCTGGCACATTACTGAAAGTGAGAGTTGCTTCTGAGCTTTAAGGAAGCTGCTCGCTATTAAAAGAATATCACTAATTAAGACGGTTCTTTTATCTTTTAATTATTGTTATTTTTCTTGCTACAAATTTTGTTGTGCTTGCACGGTTTGAGTCCCTTGAAAGGATTTAAAAGTAACCACTATTTGCACAGTTTAATCATTGTGGTGGTAGTGCTGTTACTGTTTTTGCACTTCTGCAGTCTTTTAAATTAAAGTGCGAAAACTTTTTCATTGGCATTATGCCAAAACTAAAAAACCCCCAAAAAATCGGAATTGAAAAACGTTAATAAATGTGAAAATAATCGAGATTTTACTTTTGCAATATCGCCCAGCCCTAGTAAATACTAAATAATTTATAGTAAATACTAAATAGATCATTGCAGATAATGAATAATTCATATTAAATACCAAATTATTTATAGTAGGTCTTAAGTACTGACTGAATAATAAGCCTGCAATTAAAGGGATTAAATAAAAAAAATACATGAAGATGTGATTTTTAACTAAAATCACCTGCCCAAAATTGTACAATTGAACGCCTGAAACAGTTCATCAGTAAGTAGGAAATATGTTTTAAGAGGAAGTGAGACATTCTCACTTTTAAAAATGTATTTGTTTGTTTTTTTTAAACCAGTTATACTGAATTTTATTGAACAGTGTAGCTTAAGGCCGGTGACCGGTGTGTGTTGCTGTAATCTAGTCGTCCCTTCATTGCAGTCTTTCTCCTTTTAACTCAAGTATGGATTTCATGACGGCTGTTTTAACACTGTAGAGCTCTGAAGTTGATTTCAAGCATGTATTTTAAGTGGTTGCAGTTTATGTTGGTTCACAGTAGCTTGCTGTGCAGAGCTGTTTCTAACATGCATTCATTTTCATATAAGACCGCACAGCTTATTGTAAAGCAGCCTCTGTGGTGGAGCTGTAGTTTTGTCTGTAGCCAGATTGCTGTGTCAGCTTTTATGCTGCCTAATTTCTTTACGTTTAGAGTTTATAAACGGCTCTAACGGCTTCTCCCTGTTGAATGTTTCAGGTATGCAGTCATTGCCTTCGGCTGTGCCAGCTGCCCAAAGATCACTTGCGGTCGCGAAGGCTGTGGGACGGAGTTTTGTTACCACTGTAAACAGCTATGGCACCCCAACCAAACCTGCGACGCTGCCAGACAGCAGAGAGCTCAGAGCCTCCGACTGCGGCCTTTCAGATCGTCCTCGCTCAGCTACAGCCAGGAGAGCGGGGCTGCAGGTACAACAGCACACACACAAACAAGGGACGGGACGATGCGAGAACTTCAGTACACACACTTTCAGTGCTTCAGTTATTCATTTAAATAAGGCAGCACCAGCTTGACATCGTGTTTTGAATGTCATTAGAAGAGCTGTGTATTGATAAAAGGGGAAACTGGAAAAAAAGACATGAATTAAGCTGTAAAAAAGTTTTTTTTTCAGAATCAGATTTATTGGCCAAGTATGTTGACACACACATGGAATTGGGTTCCAGCTGTTGGTGTCTGTGTAGTATTAAATGCAGTATACAATGTACAAATAACAAATTACAGACAATACACAATGTGCTTATAATATATAGTTACTAATAATTTATCATATAATAATAATAATAATAATAATAATAATAATAATAATAATAATAATATACAGGCAATACAATAATAAACATTAAGTTCAAACTTGGGGTGGCGATATGGCAAAAATATCACACTGCAAGATGTTTTTACCAGATTTTTTGAGATTTAATAAGTGGGAACGGACAAAATAGAACCCATAGTCCACATATAAAAAATAAATAAAATAATGATATAAATAAACCTACGACTACAGTGGTTTTTGGAACGTGTTGTTGGCATCAACTTTAAAATGGGCATATATTTGAAAAAATTTCTCAGTTTCAACATTTGATATGTTGTCTTTGCAGTTATTTTAAAAATATGGTTTACGTGATTTGCATGTCATTCTATTTTTATTTACATTTTGCACAGAGTCCCAACTTTTTTTGGAAATGGGGTTGTTGTAGTAGTGATGATGATGATGATGATGATGATGATGATGATGATGATAATAATAATAATAATAACAATAACAATAATAACAATAACAATAATGTCAACAGTGACAACAGTAGTACTCGTAATAACAGTAATCATTATTTTGCTTTTATTTATTATTACTGTACATTATTATAATAAAGTTTATTGGGGTTTAATTTATTCACTAAAAAGGTTCCACTGAGCTGAACCAACCTGTCTAGAACAGAATTAGAGCTCTAAGAACATCACTAACACAGACAGTATCTCAGCCTCAGAATAAAAAACTGTGTCGAACCCGAAAACATGCATTGTTACGCCCCAGCTGAAGCAGCAGGATGTGTTTACTTCTGTTGGCATGCCGGAGCAGCGTAAATGCAGCGTGTGACAAACAAACAAGGAGCACTGCTCTGTTACTTTTAAAGCTTTTTACCACCATAAAGACTAAACTTCCGCACTGTTCCCAACAAATGTGTAAACAGCATAAACCTGGTTCAGTTCAGTTTAATTTGTATAGCACTTTCTACGAAAGACGCTCTCTCTAAGCAGCTTTTTACACAAGTATGTCTGTGTAATTGTCTCTTTCAGCAGACGATATAAAGCCTTGTCCCCGCTGTGCCGCCTACATCATTAAGATGAATGATGGGAGCTGTAATCACATGACGTGTGCTGTGTGTGGCTGCGAGTTCTGCTGGCTCTGCATGAAAGAAATCTCCGACCTGCACTACTTAAGGTGAGCGCCCACAGACAGATAAGAAATGCAGTGTGGTTCCCTGCAGCAGACGGGAAGACCCCACAGTTTTTCATGTGTTTTATGCCAGAAATCCGTTTTACTCAGTTTCCTCCCGCTTACGCTGAATGTAGTCTTTCGGTTGAGACGTGTTTGGTGTCTGAAGTTTGCATCTTTAGTTTTAGCGCTGGAGCTACGAGGCTGATGTAAGGTGGAATGGAAGGTTATACCCCACCGATTAGCATGGTGCTAACTGCATGTCTAAACCATCACACACTCACATTAAACCATGCGGAGTTATACACTAATGTCTATTAGACTTAATTAAGTTTCTGACACTACATGATGACCACCTCCTTGTTTCTACACTCATTGTCCATTTATCTATATAGGTGCACTTTGTAGTTCTACAGTTACAGACTGTAGTCCATCTGTTTCTCTGATACTTTGTTAGCCCCCTTTTACCCTGTTCTTCAGTGGTCAGGACCCCCATGGACCCTCACAGAGCAGGTACTATTTGGGTGGTGGATCATTCTCAGCACTGCAGTAACACTGATGTGGTGGTGGTGGTGTGTTAGGGTGTGTTGTGCTGGTCTGAGTGGATCAGACACAGCAGTGCTGCTGGAGTTTTTAAACACCTCAGTGTCACTGCTGGACTGAGAATAGTCCACCAACCAAAAATATCCAGCCAACAGCGTCCTGTGGGCAGCGTCCTGTGACCACTGATGAAGGACTAGAGGATGACCAACACAAACTGTGCAGCAGCAGATGAGCTATCGTCTCTGACTTTACATCTACAAGGTGGACCGACAAGGTAGGAGTGTCTAATAGAGTGGACAGTGAGTGGACACAGTGTTTAAAAACTCCAGCAGCACTGCTGTGTCTGATCCACTCGCACCAGCACAACACACACTAACACACCACCACCACGTCAGTGTCACTGCAGTGCTGGGAATGATCCACCACCCAAAGAGTACCTGCTCTGTGAGGGTCCATGGGGGTGCTGACCTCTGAAGAACAGGGTAAAAGGGGGCTAACAAAGTATCAGAGAAACAGATGGACTACAGTCTGTAACTGTAGAACTACAAAGTGCACCTATATAGTAAGTGGAGCTGATAAAATGGACAATGAGTGTAGAAACAAGGAGGTGGTCAGAATGTTCTGCCTGATCTGTGTATAATCTGTACAGTATCTTGTATTGTGTTGTCCTAAATAGGTTGCAGAAAGAAGTACATTTTTCTGATTTTTGGATGGCGTCACTGCACCAGCCGGTTGGGCAAAATAATATTAACCAATAATATCATGTTTAAACCCCTCCCCTCCCTGCCCCCCACGCCCACCCCCACCCATCATGGAGAGAAAACGCTCAGGTAGCTCAGTGATCCTCCCTGAAACACACACATACGTCACAGTAAGGATGGAGAATGAATGATTTCCCATTTAAACTGAGTTTAACAACCTGACATGGACTGAGTGAACTGTGTGATGATTTAGGCGTGCAGTTAGTCGCGGTTGCCAACTTTCAGTTTTCAGTTTTGCGTGCAGTGTTACGCCTCTCAAAGCACTATTTTTAAACACCGCTCATTGGCTTTAGCATGTAGACCTGTGATTCTTAAAATAGTCCCCGACCAGTAAACATTTTTGCTCCAGCTATAGACACCTAAACGAAGCCTTTAAGAGCACTAAATACCTGCTGCAGGTGTGTTGCAACTGGGCTAAAGCAAAATATGTGTTGAGGGAGCTGTTTTTACTGGCTGGTTTCAAGGTTTAAGGACCAATAAAGTATAACTGGCTGTCTTGTTCAAAGTCAGCGATAGTTAAATAGTGTTTACTGTGATTGTTAGAAAGCAATGAAATAAATTCTCCCTCACGTGTCGCAGTTGGTGCAGATTTGTGTGGGTTTTAGTAAAGTAATGAATAGTGAGTGCAGTTTTTTCCAGGATGTATTAAGTAATGTTAATCTTATTACATTGAGAGGAGTAATTAAGTCATTTGTAATGGGTTATGGTTGGCAGCAGATGATGAGGATATAAAATCAAAACAAATATGAGTTCAGGCTTAATCAAATTTGTAGTTGAGTTAAGAAAGATAGAGGGGGAGAGAGAGACTAAAGAGAGATAGAGGGAGAGAGAGAGACTGTAAAGAGAGAGAGACTGTAAAGAGAGCTAAAGGGGGAGCGAAAGACTGTAAAGAGAGATAGAGGGGAAGAGAGAGACTGTAAAGAGAGATAGAGGGGGTGCGAAAGACTGTAAAGAGAGATAGAGGGGAAGAGAGAGACTGTAAAGAGAGATAGAGGGGGTGCGAAAGTCTGTAAAGAGAGATAGAGGGGAAGAGAGAGACTGTAAAGAGAGCTAGAGGGGGTGCGAAAGACTGTAAAGAGAGATAGAGGAGAGAGAGACTAAAGAGAGATAGAGGAAAGAGAGAGACTGTAAAGAGAGATAGAGGAGAGAGAGACTAAAGAGAGATAGAGGAAAGAGAGAGACTGTAAAGAGAGATAGTGGGGGAGAGAGACTAAAGAGAGATAGAGGAAAGAGAGAGACTGTAAAGAGAGATAGTGGGGGAGAGAGACTGTAAAGAGAGAGAGGAGAGAGACTGTAAAGAGAGAGAGGAGAGAGACTGTAAAGAGAGATAGAGGAGAGACTAAAGAGAGATAGAGGAAAGAGAGAGACTGTAAAGAGAGATAGTGGGGGAGAGAGACTAAAGAGAGATAGAGGAAAGAGAGAGACTGTAAAGAGAGATAGTGGGGGAGAGAGACTAAAGAGAGATAGAGGAAAGAGAGAGACTGTAAAGAGAGATAGTGGGGGAGAGAGACTAAAGAGAGATAGAGGAAAGAGAGAGACTGTAAAGAGAGATAGTGGGGGAGAGAGACTAAAGAGAGATAGAGGAAAGAGAGAGACTGTAAAGAGAGATAGTGGGGGAGAGAGAGACTGTAAAGAGAGAGAGGAGAGAGACTGTAAAGAGAGAGAGGAGAGAGACTGTAAAGAGAGATAGAGGAGAGACTAAAGAGAGATAGAGGAAAGAGAGAGACTGTAAAGAGAGATAGTGGGGGAGAGAGACTAAAGAGAGATAGAGGAAAGAGAGAGACTGTAAAGAGAGATAGTGGGGGAGAGAGACTAAAGAGAGATAGAGGAAAGAGAGAGACTGTAAAGAGAGATAGTGGGGGAGAGAGACTAAAGAGAGATAGAGGAAAGAGAGAGACTGTAAAGAGAGATAGTGGGGGGAGAGAGACTGTAAAGAGATAGTAGGGCAAGAGAGAGGGGGAGAGAGAGACTGTAAAGAGAGAGGGGGAGAGAGAGACTGTAAAGAGAGAGGGGGAGAGAGACTGTAAAGAGAGATAGAGGAGAGAGAGAGAGAGAGACTGTGGTAGAGACATGAAGCTGGAGCTGCAGGAGATCCAGCCATGTTCTCAATAGGCTACAATATGATCCAGTCGGACGTTGTCAAGCAGAAAGAACGTATACTAGTCGTGATGCACGTTGGTTGGCTGGCTTCTGATGTGTTTGCGCAGTGTGAGAGCGTGAGAAGAGACCCAAAATCCTGAGTCTCACGCCAAAACTGAGAGTTGGCAACGCTGAATCAGCTCCATGCTAATTGGTTGGGTAAACGCTTCCCCTACTTGTTGGCTACATTAGCCTCATAGATTCAGGACAAAAGGAAGCAAACTGCAGTCTCCAAATGATGTCTTGGCTGGTCATCTACATTCGAAGACTGTATAAATTAGATTTTTCACTGAACTACTCAATTAAATAGTAAGGAAATTACTTCAATTGTGAGCTGGGAAGTCAGAAGAATGCTCTGTGAAAAGGCTTCCAAAGAACAGGATAGGAAACCGCAGAGTTATTGACACAGAGTCATGACCACCTGGTGAGATGCTTGAGCTTTAACTCCTCTCTGCCTCCCACAGCCCTTCAGGATGCACGTTCTGGGGTAAGAAGCCCTGGAGCCGGAAGAAGAAAATCCTCTGGCAGTTGGGAACGCTGGTGGGCGCTCCAGTTGGCATCGCGCTGATCGCTGGCATCGCCATCCCTGCCATGATCATTGGTATTCCTGTGTATGTGGGCAGAAAGGTGGGTGTCATGCCTTTAGATTAGTCTCACATTGGTTTGAACATATCAGATTTTATAATCTCTTTATAAATTCTCTATAAATTCTTTTCGAGTGTCGCCTTGCCCTTCGAAACTGATCTTCAAGGAATAGCGGTTGAAATCTTCCCTACTTCATTAACAGCTACCAGCGCTGCTCTGTAGGCGACCCTGCCAGTCTGCAGTGACAGCAGAGGAGGGTAAAGTTCAGCTCCTCACTGCTGGGCTTTAGTTAAATTCAGGGCATCATATGCCTTCAAAGAGGGGGGCAATTATTTATTATCACCCACCCCTAATTCTTCAGTGATATGAAGCTGAAGTCAGATATTCACCAGATTCTTGTTTGAATTTTCCTGTTCCACCTTAAATGGAGCAGCAGCTCTGATGCCTGAGGTGCCAGAATGTAACTGCGGCACCATTTAAGGTGAAACAGGAGATTTAGCTAGCTACCGAGACATCAGCTACTACTAGCAATTTTTTTATGCTTGTTATGAAGAAAAGGACCATAATACACTGAAACAACATTAAACTAAGATAAAACAGTGGATATCGTAATTTTTAACTGAGAAAATTCTCACATTTGTGTGTTTCTCTGGTCTCTTGTTCTCCATCTTGCCTGTTTTTCTTTTTTTCTCATAACTCTCTGTTTGGAGTCTCTGAAAAACCTCAGTTTGGAGGGTCATGTAGCCCCAACACTTCACCCTCCCCCTCTATCTCAACAAGAATCGGGACACCCTATCCCTAGACGAGAACGCTCAAAATGAGGGTAGGGCTCAGTGGTAGGCGCGAAGGGTAAAATGGGACTGGGCCTTAATTTCACACTTTACTTTTAGTTCTCCTGTGAGAGATGCATATTTGTGCCAGACTACTCAGCTGCAGCCATGACTGCATGAATTTACAGGCCATCCATGAAAAACAATCTAAATTTTAGTCCATCTGTAATGCATTTTTTTAAAAAGGCTTGTTTGACTGTCCATAAAAAGGTTCTGTGATGTACAAACAAAATTTGCAGCTTGTATTGAAGACGAATTTGAACTTGCACCCATATACGCTAACCCATGTGTAATGAGGCCGATCAGAGCAAGAATTTAGGCCAGTGTGGCTGCAGATCAGAGTGCAGCATAGTTCTCCTTTTGTACAGAACGTTATACCTTTGAGCTTTACAGATGAGCTCAGCAAATGTGGGGGTGATGGGTTTGCAGACTCGAAAGTAGCGAGGGAGGTGAGAAACCAAGACTCAAACACAGGCTTTTGTGCTCAGTAAATCCACAGGCATTACAACACAAAACTGGCAATGGCGAAGGTGTTTTTTCCAGACTGTCAGTCAAAAAAAAAACATCTGATTGATGTGTAGATAAAGAGAGAGGCATCTAGATGTGTAACTGCCCACTGTCTATCTAGCTAAACCAAACAAAATTTGGTGTTTTCCCCAGTCTCTCTCATTTATTTTTGCCATCAAAATGAATAAATTTAAATGGGGGTTCCACCAAATTTGCAAAATTTGTATTATTCAGTCATTGGGATGCAATCCGAGTGATTCAGAGTGGTTTGGTGTGAAATGGTTCAGATGTCTTTACAGTGGTGGTGATAGGAACCAGGGGTCGCCATGACTACAACACAAATATAGACATTTTATTTACTATCCAGAACCACCAGTGAACCTACATGAGTCTTCTGAGTTTATATGGAATGTAGATGATGATGGAAGTGTTTTGCCAAAACTATCATAAAACAGTGTCTCAGTCATCAGGCAGTGAATTCATAACCATTTCATGTAGGAACTTTCTGTGAGGGAGCTTTTAGAGGTGGACGTCTGGTTCCTATCACCACCACTGTGAACAATTCTGACTCGGTAAGTTTCTCTAGAACAGAACGTTTCACACCAAACCACTCTGAATGAGTCTGTTTACATCTTAACCGCTTAATTATGCAGAAATTTTGAAAAATTGCTGGACTTCCCCTTTATTTACATATATTATATTAGTCTTAAAGAGACAATAACAAAAACAGCCTGATTACTTCTAAGGTATAAAGAGAGAAGGAGAGTTTAGAAAACGGTAATGTAAATATGAATTAATGAACTTTTGATGAATAAAACAACACACAAGTTTAAAGAGGACCTTGGGGGCGGGTGAGACTGTGGTAATTTCCCCAACAGGATGAAGTTTAGTAGTTTGTTGGGCATAAGAATGCTAGCAGACTAAGCAGGCTAACATGACTGTAAAAAGTGATTCATTGTTTTAACTTGGTTCATTAAAGTTAATTAGTTAAACAGCGAAGCCCTTTAGCCCTTTAAAGTAAAACAGCTGCACATAAAAAATAAAAGTGAGCAACACTTTCTGCCTTCCAGGTTACATAATACAAGTCACAATCACTTTCAGTTCATCTGAGAATACCAAGAATTCCGAAAATGCTCACAGATGATGAACTCGTGACAGATGCCAGAGAGTAAACGATAGATTGCGTATGAGTGTAGGGATTTCTAGGAGGTGTAGTGAAAGTGTTAAAGCAGTCCTAGGAAACTAAGGCTGCGTTCACACAGCAGGTAAAAGTAGCCCAAATCTGAACTTCTCAGCAAATCTGATTTTTTTTTGTTTGCCTGTTCAGATTATCTTTTAAATGTGATCTGTATGCGACATCAGTCTGAACAGATCAGCTCCTAAACTGACCCGCATGCGCAAAAGATCAGAGCGTCACGCTGCTTCACGGCTCATCCAGAGGTAAACAATCACGAACGCCAGTCGCTCCCGGAGGATCAGCTTCATCTTCACCAGCATCACAGGAGCCATCATGAAGCTTCACTGACTGACAGCTGGGCTCATCACCCAGAATGTGTTCGAGCCGTAAAAAGGGCGCGGTCACTTCTTTGGTTCTCCTCGGATTCTTTAAACTTTGCTTTCAGACCTTTAACTGTTCTTTGACGCTGCAGCCTCGTTCTCCTACGACCGCGTTCGGACATTTCTTTAGAAATCCCTTTGAATACGGAGGGTTTTGTATCAGTCTCTCCTGATTTATTGGTACAGAAACATCAGCCCAAATGTTTGAGTCTCAGCAGCATGAAATTATGACACATGTCGAGTTGGATTGACGTAGAAGTCACATGAATCCCGATCTGGCTGTTCAGACTGAGTCGCATTGCCGCATATCGGATACGTATCGGATTCCAGTACCACATACGAAAGGGTCTCAAACCAGAATTGAAAATGTCAGATTCAGTGTGTTTCGCTATTCACACAGACACACAGACACACATCTGAGTCACATATGAGGAAAAAGATCAGATTTGGGCCACTTTTACCTGCTGTGTGAACAAAGCCTAAATAACCCAGAAAAGTTCAAAGGCCTTTCAGTGTGAGTTCATGTAATGGAAGTTTAAGTTTAGTTTCAGATCACTTATTTATTTATTTATTTATTCACAGTTCTTAAGAAGTAGGTGTGTGTCGTCCTTTTAGAGCATCTTGTAAAGCTGAACGCAGAAGAGTGAACTGGTTTTTCCACATTCTGCTTGTATGACTGATACAAAGTTCCCCAGAGTTGGTGGTTGGTTTTGCATGCAGGCTTTAGTTTTAGATAAATATTGGTTTTATGCATGACTTTTTGATAACGTCCAACTTCCTGAATTCCAGACAGGACATTTTACTGGCACATTTTTTTTCTTATTTACTTTTGGTTTAATTTTCCTTTCACTTTCATTTATTTATTCTATTTTTCTGCGTTGACATTCCCCAAGTGGGTGGCGCAGTTAATGTAAAATGAATTTATTTATGATATGGAGCAGCAGTGCCATGATGCAAGCCAGAGAAACCGTCTGTATAAAGAAAGTGCATGTGGCACGTTGACAGACAGCAACTTTTTACTGCATATTACTCACTTTATTTTTAATACTGACAGCTGCTGTTAATAGAGCTGCGTGGCGTAATTGTCAGTCATGCAGCTTATTTAAATGTTTCACATTGTGTCACTGTGCCATCTGCTCACTGCTCAGATAAGATTATCTGCTGAATAAATGGGTGTAAATTAAATATGAGTGGGCTGGGGAACCATTGTTGTTCTGCTGGGACATAAACAAGAACAATAGGAAGCCTGTTTACTTACAGCGCTCGTATACAGCTGTCTGTCAAGGGTGACAACAAAGTTATCATTTAACTATTCAAAAAATTATTATTAAATAATATATTGCTATAGTAAAGTCTATCACAGTATTTTATATAATATCTCAAAATGTAATAAGCAAAATTATCTTATTAAATATAAAATGCTGTTCCACATCACAAAGAGATCATCTCCACCCACAATGTAAATAGTCATATGAATGTTTAAATTGCTAATTAAGCTGAGTTGTATTGATGGGTCACAATTTTTAGGTAAAATCGGTATCATGAGACGCCTTCATACCAGTATTTACTTAAGTACTGGTATGATTTCTGCTTTATACAGTATACAGGATGTTACTTTGTAAATGGGTCATTCTACAGAAACGTCCATTTTTGTGTTACACTTGAGAAAAAAAAAAAACGTCAGGGTTACAATTTCTTTATATTTTAAAATAAAACAAGTTATTTTAACAATTACACCTTCTTGAGCTGTTAATTTAGCGATATTGGTTTTTAAATCAATCATATAGAATTCCAAACACCACAGAAGAGCTCGTCCTCACAGTTACCGCATAATAAAAAAAAAAATCTCTTTTGATATAAAAGTCACACTGATGACATCACTTGACTTCCTTTTACCTGTTTTCTGAGGATCTATGAAGAAAAGCACATGGTGAGTCCACTGTGTCTTTCAGTTATCAGAGATTTTCTCATTCAGCTCATGATTTCATATGAAGCTTTTAGCTGAAGTCACTGGTGTGACCGACTTTATTCTGAGGTCATTGTGAAAAAATAGAATACAAATGGATTAAATTCCATATTTTAGTGGATATTGCATGATTGACATGTGGTTTGATGTTCTGTAGCAGACATTCTGTAAAATGCATTTTTCATTAAAAATGTCTCTGGTGTTCCTTTATTATGTGGAACACCAATGAGGATCAGTAACACCAGTGACTCCTATGGACAGACAGAAAAGTGGACGTTTCTGTAGAATGACCCAAACGCGCGTATGTCAAGTTTTTCAACACCTCTTCTAGAGTTTCTTCTGAAATGAAGGTGTTAATAGTGAGTTTATGCTGCAGTAACAGCCTCGACTCTTCTGGGAAGGCTCTAGATGTTGAACATTGCTGTGAGGATTTGATTGAGCATTAGTGAGGTCAGGTACTGATGCTGGATGGTCAGTTCTGGATCATAAACTCATCACAAAGGTATTGGATGGAGCTCCACCACTCCAGAGAACACAGCTCCACTGCTCCACAGCCCAATGCTGGGGGGCTTTATACCCCTCTAGCCCACGCTTGGCACTGGGCATGGAGACCTTAGGCTTTATTGGTTAATGTGTTTCCATGAAGATTATACAAGCTGTGTCAGCAGTTGGTGACCTTAAAGTAACTGAATTCACTATTACGACTGTCTGGATACTTTTGGACATAGAGAGTTTATTTATACAGGGAGTTCTGTATTGATGTTTCAGAAGAACACAGTTCTAACTGCAGATTTTCTTTATCGCTTCTCCTCAGATTCATAACCGCTATGAAGGAAAGGACATCTCAAAGCACAAGAGGAACCTGGTAATCGCAGGCGGAGTCACGTTGTCTGTTATTGTGTCACCAGTAGTGGCTGCAGTGACCGTTGGTAAGGAAGCAATTTTAACGTCCAGTTTCCTCCTGGGCTGGTGTCAGAGACAAAGGTCGCCTTATTACATACCGTGAAGTTATGAGGCAATGTTTTGTTGTTGGAGAAGGGCTGCCAAATTAATTTGTAGGCTTTCAAAGTTTATGGCTCATAAGGAGTGATGAACAGGCTGCTCACCTTATAAAATACCTGCGTGCTGGTTCTAACAAATCAGTACCATCTGACAGCACTAGAATAACTCGCTTATTTATTTGGGTGGCTGTGACTTTTTCTGTTTGTTTTTTATTTATTTAGTCATTAGATCACTATATATATTATATAGGAGTGCTAGGAAATGAATAGTGCAGGCACACCCAACTGACAGCCACAGGGCAGTGCACATCAAGTGGATTATGCACATGGGTGCGGGCAGTGTGACTAAATTTTAGCATTGTGATAAATTATGTCCTAATACACCTTTCTGGGCATATCATGGCTATGATCTGTACTTAAAAAACACATTCATTACAATTTGCATTACAAAGTGAGACATTATTAAGGCATGTTTGGATTTAATGCAGTGCAGTTTGTAAAACATTGAATAAACCTCATTGTAGTTGTAGTAGTGCTGGGCGATATGACCTCAAATCAATATCACGATAAATTGAATGTTTTATCTCGATTATGATTAATGAACGATTTTTTTTTTGTGTTTTTGTTTTTTTGCCCTCATAGTTCACTGACAAGGTTTGTACTGTAAATTTGCTCTGCATATCTTAATGTAAATCTTCTCAACAGCCAGATCAGAATTCGCGTGACTTTTACGTCAATCCAACACGACATTCGTCATAATTTCGCGCTGCTGAGACACACAAACATTTGGGCTGATATTTCTGTACAAATGTTTGTACTGTACAAATTTCTGTTTAGGAGCTAATCTGTTCAGACTGATGTCGCATACAGATCACATTTAAAAGATAATCAAACAACAGCCAAACAAAAAAAATAAAATTTGGTGAGAAAGTCAGATTTGAGCCACATTTACCTGCTGTGTGAAGCCTTAGCTTCCATGTCTCAGAGTGGACGTGGCGGAGTCACGTGACGACACACGTGGTAGTATGTTTTTAAGGGGACAGTACACGAACGCACAGAGTGGGGAAAGGATTAACAGAATTTTTAAAAAATCGACATGGGCAAGATTACGTCGGTTAGAGGTTCTGAATGTCGGTTTCGATTACTTTTCGATTAATCGCCCCGCCCTAAATTGTAGGATTATTATTGTCGTCATTATTGTCAGTGTTTTTTAATATGTGGCACTACTGGTTCTATTTTGTCTGTTACTATTTATTAAATGTCAGAAAAACAAAATATCGTGGTGTATTGTGTATCATGAAAATGTCTTGAAGTATTGTGATTTATTTTTGCCATATCGCCCACCCCCATATGTACAGCAATTAATTAGTCCTTGAGAAGAAAAGAAAAAAAACACAGAGAAACATTGTGCATCCACTAATAGTCCGTCTCTGTGTGTTAGGTATCGGAGTGCCCATCATGCTGGCGTACGTGTACGGCGTGGTGCCGATCTCGCTGTGCCGTAGCGGCGGCTGCGGTGTGTCTGCAGGGAACGGTAAAGGTGTGCGGATCGAGTTTGATGACGAAAACGACATGAATGTGGGCAGCGGTGCAGCAGCAACCGGTGAGTGACCTGAACGAGTAGATCCTAAATCATCAGACCAAAACATCATCAAACACACCTGGACTTTCACGTATTCATATCCTCACCGTCAGAGTACCGCCTCTCTCTGAGGCAGTATGTAGCCTCTCTCTGAGGCAGTATGTAGCCTCTCTCTGAGGCAGGGAGAGTATGTAGGGGGTCATTTTGTTGAATAACTTTTTTAAATATTTAAGTTAGAATAATCGTATTTTTATACAAGCAACGTGTACATCTCTGCTACAAACGAACACTTGAACTTTGTTTATAGCTTCTACCATTCAGTACAATTCCACCCAAAAAGAGAAGTGCAGTGTTCCAGTTTAGCTCATGGGTGGGTCAGTTAACATCTCTGACATTCTCAAATGGCTACAGGTGAAGTGCCATCTTCAAATAAACCTTCGTACATTTACTGTTTAGTTTTCTTCCAGTAATTATTCCTACATTCTGAAACATGACTGCTCTGTCCTTCAGCCTGTTTTTGTCCAGGCTGGTCGAACTAGGTACAAAAAATCATTTAGCTCAAGGACCACGTCTGCAGTTCTCCAGCATAGAACATTCCTGAAGAAATAATATGCTCTAAACCTCAGATGACATGGTGTGAATAGTTAAAGGGATCATTTTTTTATTTAAAACTCTCAATAACTCTGGCGTGCAGTTATTGTTGCTATTGTAAGATAAAACCTTGTCTCTGTCAGATGTTAACCTCACCTGGAGTTACCCTTACCTGGAGCTTTCGAACGGTCTAAAAAATAAAGAAATAAGTAAATGACTTCTAAGAAGTCACAAGGCTTTAATAAGTGAGGATTTGATTGCATTAATGAATAAAAGAGTGAAGAGGCAGTCCACTTACCCCAAATGCAGTCGGGCAGCCAAGATTCGTTTGTTCAGATTTTGCTTCTTTAGTTTTTAGAATAAGAGCTGCTGTGCTAAAATGCAGTATGGAATAGATAGACCTTACTTACACATTTAAGCTAAACATTTAGGCTGAACTGCATTATCATATCAACATCTGGAAAACGTCTTGCTATTCCACTGTTCCTCCTGGAAGGATTTGGTGCCGGGGCGTGTTAAACTTCACTACGCAGGTACATAGTGTTACCACAGTAATACCTCAGGCTTGCTTACTGTAAAAGAGTTAGAAGCTGCAACTCAATAATGATAAACCTTTGAACATTGTATTACGAAAAAAAAAAGATGTACAAATAGTCTGGTGCACTATCACTGATTCCCTACTGATGCATGCGCTTGCAGACTGTGGTTTAACCTTTTCAAGTCCTTTAGCCCACCGGTGGTTCCAAAATGCACTTCGTCATATTCTTCATAACTTTCAAATTTCATAAGCTACATTTTAAAGCTGGGGGTCATATGAGAGCTGTAACTGTCTTTTTTCCAGTCAAATAGATGGTGATGTAATTTTAAACCCTTATAATAAAAGAAGCTGAACTCTCAATTTTTTTTTCTACTGAAAGTCGACCCATTTTTCCACAAATCTGGGCTATAAACTATAAACAGATGGCGCCTCTTCAGTGATCTGCTCTGTAAACATTATTTTTTATAAAATAATACAAAGAGCGTCTAAGATTTTTGGCTTTCGGCAGTAAATTGTAAGCATATAGCGATATGTATGATCATAAAACACATTCTGTTAATTTTAGGGGAACTTTTACAAAAAATAAATAAATAAATAAAAAATTTGCATTTATTTCATGCAGTTACTGAATAATTTGCCTTACGATTTGGTCATGTAAATTCAGAAGGACAAACCAGAATATACCCTAGAGAATAACAGGTTAAGCTACTGTTATCATGCAAAGTTACTGTCAAAGCAAAATTTGGACACCAAACATGTTTTCACTGAAAAATCATGTACATTTTTTTTCCTGAACTTTTTCCTGAACTAAAAAGCTCAACTGTTGTCAATTGATGAATCACAATTTTATCTGTGTTGGTGAAAATATATATATAATGCTCAGATAATAAGCTCGCAATTTTAACATTTATCAGAATTTTTAGCCCCATTGTGTCGGGATCTGTTTGAGCCACTACATTTTTATATTGGTACAGTCGTTTATTTGAAAATCACGAACGCTGATACGGGATTAATGAATTACAAATACATCTAGCAATCGGTAAGACACATAAGAGAAAGCTGTGAATAAAGACAGAAGGAAGGAAGAAAAAATATAAAACAGAAATATTGGAGTTTTTTTGCTTTTCGTCTGACAGTGATGTTATACGTCTGGTCTCCAGCGTGAGCTGAAACAGTGTTTAGATGGCTTATAAACTAACGGGCTTTGTTGGTGTCTTCCAGTCTCTCTAATCTTCTCGCTTCAGTAAATGAGTGTCTGCTGTGCTCCTCCTGTGGTAGAATATTAATGTTAATAATCATAATCCTCCGTCTGTGTGCAGACACCACCTCCGTGGCGGAGACCAGGCATAACCCGAGTATCGGCGAGGGCAGCGTGGGCGGACTGACCGGCAGCCTGAGCGCCAGCGGGAGCCACATGGAGCGCATCGGAGCTATGAGAGACAACCTAAGCGAAAACGCCAGCACCATGGCCCTCGCAGGAGCCAGCATCACCGGCAGCCTGTCCGGCAGCGCCATGGTCAACTGCTTTAACAGGTAAATGCAAATCCTGCTGTTTATCAGTATCATTGTTGGTAGGCATGAACACCTTATTACTAAATATCTGATCATTCAGTTCAACTGCAGTTCTTTAAAACGATTCTGTGCATAATGGAATCTCGAATTTCACTAAACAAACATGACAAGAGGAGATATTTACGCACCTTTTTTAGTTGTTTATGGATTTTTACATTTAAAAATTTTGGCATTCTTTTTTTGTCCAATCCTGGTGCTGGTGTGCATAACCCTGGGGCAGGGTTGGGATAGCTACTGGAAAATTATTAGCTAGCTGCTTTTCCAAAATTTGTATCTAGCTACAATTTAGATACTTTTCCAGAAAAAGTAGTGGCTACTTTTTAGCTACTTTTTGAAAAGTAGTGCGCAACACACACTAACACACCACCACCACGTCAGTGTTACTGCAGTGCTGAGAATGATCCACCACCCAAATAGTACCTGCTCTGTGAGGGTCCATGGGGGTCCTGACCACTGAAGAACAGGGTAAAAGGGGGCTAACAAAGTATGCAGAGAAACAGATGGACTACAGTCTGTAACTGTAGAACTACAAAGTGCACCTATATAGTAAGTGGAGCTGATAAAATGGACAATGAGCGTAGAAACAAGGAGGTGATGTTATGCCTGATCGGTGTATATTACATTATATTAGAAGTTGCAGTTAAGTCACTGTACATCATAAGTCTGTTAGCTGTGGTGATCTTAGAAGAACAAGCCAAACTCCCGCGCATATTCAGGACAGCGTAGAGGATCATGGGATGTATCTGCCAGCACTTTAGGACATCTACAACAGCAGAGCACTGGCAAAATTACAGCTGACCCCGCTCATCCTGGACATCACCTCTTCCAGACACGCCCCTCTGGTAGAAGATTCATGACCATCAAAACCAGCACAGACATGTTCATAGCTTTTTTCCCCAGAGCTGCAGATCATTTACCACAGTAGACACTCGCACTTTACACTTTAACTGAACCATCAAACCTCCTCACTTTATTACAGCACACATATTTATACATATGTTTCTATCACTTTGTAATATTTAATATATAATATTTTTTTATAGTATATTTTATAGCACGTCCTTTTGACCTGCTTGCTTACAGACATTCATATTGGCATATGTACGTATATCCCACATCTTATATGTACATCTGAGCTCCTTTTAACATGGTTTATCATTATGCTTTATTCTATGTTCTGTTTATTGTATTTTATTTTATTTTTCCCTTAGTTTAATACTTGTTAACAGTCTGTTCGCTTGTCTGGTCTGTTTAATGTTACATGTCATACCTGTGTGACTCACCAAGACAGATTGCTTGTACGTGTGACACACTTGGCGAAACAAAGCGATTCTGATTATTCAGAGCGAATGGTGAGAATGTTATCGAAGGTGCGTTTGGTTGAATGTTCTCCGCTGTTTCTCCTGCAGGCTGGAGGTTCAGGCTGACGTCCAGAAGGAGCGCTGCAGTCTGAGCGGAGAGTCCGGCACGGTCAGCCTGGGGACAATCAGTGACAACGCTAGTACCAAAGCAATGGCTGGATCCATTCTTAATGCCTACATGCCTCTGGACAGGTAGTGAAAAATCAAATTTCCACAGTAAAAACTGAAGCGTTTTCAGCGATCTCTGACTTCTGGACTCTTCTGTTTATAGACTATAACATGAGATTCATCGTGTCTGTCTCTGTTCTGTGTTTAGCAGAGACGGCAGCAGTATGGAGGTGCAGGTGGACGTGGAGTCCAAGCTGGGGAAGCTGCGGCACCACAGCGGCAGCAGCAGCATGGACGACGGCAGCACAGGCGGGCGAGGGGGCGGCGCGTGTTCCTCTGGCTGTCCGCACGAGGGCAAGTGCGGCTCGTCCCGCTGGGCCAAGGAGTCCTCGTCCTCCTCCTCGTCTTCAGGCAAGAAGAGCAAAGGCAAGCTGCGCAAAAAAGGCGGCGGCACGAAAATAAACGAGACGCGAGAGGACATGGACGCTCAGCTGCTGGAGCAGCGCAGCACCAACTCCAGCGAGTTCGATTCGCCGTCTCTGAGTGGCAGCCTGCCGTCCGTGGCCGACTCGCACTGCAGCCACTTCTCAGAGTTCAGCTGCTCCGATCTGGACGCCTGCCGGCCATCCTGCTGCGGCCACGAGCCTCACTCCAGGCCTTCGAACGGGGCCGGGGCGGTCAGCCCTCTACCTGAAGTGGAGCACGACCGGCTGGAAAACTGCCCCGCCCCCGTTCACCTGCCACAGGCTGCTGCTGCTGCTGCTACCGCCACGAGCGGAGGGGAACGCCCCCTTTGCCACATCACAGAGGAGAACGTTGGCTCGATCTGTGCACCTGAGCTAGACCCCAGTGTTACGGCGGGTTCTCCTAAAGAACGTAACAACAACCTCCCTCAGCCAGCCAGCCCCGTGCGCAATGCCTGCATTCAGACTGAGATATAGCGCTCGGAAAAAAACAAACAAACAGTGGTTGTGACATCACAACACAGTAAGCAGGAGGGCAGGAGATGAGCTAACCCAAATGCTAGCTTTCAAAGCTAACCTCACGCCCAGTTTTCTTGCTGAGGATTATTGCACACGGACTTATTTTCTCATATATATAGATATATAAATATAAAAGAGGGGGTTAAAAAAAGCGAAGCTTTTGTTTTTGTGGCGGTTTGTTTAATTTCCAGGTCGGCCAGTGTTGATCACAGAATGTGGCAGAGGGAACTCGCGGTCGATTAAAGAGAGAGACCGTTAAGAAAAGGGGTTAAAGAAGGTCACCGGTTCCGAGGGGGGAGGCCGCTTTACAGAACGACTAACGCTGGAGGAAACTCGTGAAGAGCAACAGACGAATGTAAGACGGCAGGTGATGGACAGATACGGATGGTGGCTGATGATGTAGCTGTTTAATCACACATGCCTCTATTTCAGTGACGGTTGCTGTGATCGAGGGTTGTTTATTTTTTTTGTTTTGTTTTGTTTTTTTTGCCTGAGCCTCATGAATAGTGAGCTATAGTGCTTTCAGGCACCAGACATTTACACAGAAAACACCATATATATTCTCTCAGTTATATAGACCAAGTTATATCTGTGGTTGGAGGGATCCGCTTCTACTCATAACTCAGATTTCAGACCGTTTTAAAGGGGTTATGATGCCTTCATAGCAGCGTTTATCAGACATAAAACCTAAGAGGGACCAGGCAATGATGGACTTTTTTGTTTTTTGTTTACTTGTAAATGATTTTGTTTCTCCTTTCTGAAGCTGTTATACTTTTAGTGTTTCTCTTTCTTTTCCATTTTTGGAAAGGTTGTTATGTGTTGAATCCCTGTGTGGGGTGCTCTGGATACAGTTTGTGTCGGCGCCCTCTTCTGGTAGGTTAAGGAAACTTGCGGCACAACCCTTTTGATTCAGCCGTATTCGTAAAATATGTTGAGCAAAGTAAAATGAATGGGAGAGACTGAGGTTAAAGGAATAATCTGGCGTTTTTCAGCATTATCTCTGTTTACTGCGCCTCATACAGTCCATTATTTTCTGTGCTTAGTAAAAGAATAGAAAGCAGCTCATTCGACACATTACAGTAGAGCTGTCCTGACGAGCGCTGCAGTATTCCTTCAATTTAATGGTTGTTAATTGGGTTTTTATGGTTGAATCAAAAGGGTATGTGTTCACTTTAATCCCTGTAAGTCTGACATTTCTCAGTTCAAAGGTTATGATGGTAAAATCACACCAATGCATTCAGGTTGTTTCAAACACCTCATGATTAATACAAGTGATTCTTTTTTTTTCTTTTTTTTTGTACCTTTGTTGACTCATGGTGCCTTTTGGAGTTAGAGAGAAAAAAACGTTTGTTGTTCCTCCATTACGTGTCTTTCAGAATAATAATAAAAGAAAAGAATCAAACACATCTGAAGTGGATGAAATCAATGTCTGTGTGACCTCACTAGTGATGTGGTGTAAATACATTGGTCAGGCATATTATTCTGACCACCTCCTTGTTTCTACGCTCATTGTCCATTTTATCAGCTCCACTTACTATATAGGTGCACTTTGTAGTTCTACAGTTACAGACTGTAGTCCATCTGTTTCTCTGATACTTTGTTAGCCCCCTTTTACTCTGTTCTTCAGTGGTCAGGACCCCCATGGACCCTCACAGAGCAGGTACTATTTGGGTGGTGGGTCATTCTCAGCACTGCAATAACACTGACGTGGTGGTGGTGTGTTAGTGTGTGTTGTGCTAGTCTGAGTGGATCAGACACACCAGTGCTGCTGGAGTTTTTAAACACCTCAGTGTCACTGCTGGACTGAGAATAGTCCACCAACCAAAAACATCCAGCCAACAGCGTCCTGTGGGCAGCGTCCTGTGACAACTGATGAAGCACTAGAGGATGACCAACAAACTGTGCAGCAGCAGATGAGCTATCGTCTCTGACTTTACATCTACAAGGTGGACTGACAAGGTAGGAGTGTCTAATAGAGTGGACAGTGAGTGGACACAGTGTTTAAAAACTCCAGCAGCACTGCTGTGTCTTAATTTTTTTTTCCCTTCTTCCTCTTTCTCTTTGGTGGACACCAGCGTGCGCTAAAGACTGTAGCAACCTACCAAAGACCACACCGGGCTGTTGACCATTTACAGTGAGACCAGAAACCTCACACTGAGGTTTTACAAAATCACCTGTGAATTCAGACAAACACACATACTCAGATTTCAAAGCTGGACTTCTCAGTAAAGCTGGAAAATGTGTCAAAAAAGTGAGAACCATCTGAGAAACTTGGACTCAGACTTCTTTACAGTGGTGGTGATAGGAACCAGGGGTCGCCATGACTACAACACAAATATAGACATTTTATTTACTATCCAGAACCACCAGTGAACCTACACGAGTCTTCTGAGTTTATATGGAATGTTGATGATGGAAAATAGTGGAAAATCTGAAATAAGTTTTCTTTGGGGACTATTTTGCCTCACAGCGCCCTGCATATTATGTATCCCTCCACCATGAATGGAGTTTAAGGCCGAAATCATCTTTAAAAAGATTGTTCTTCAAGGGTTCTTTAGTAAAGACAAAGGTTCTATATAGAATCATGAACACACAAACCATTTGCATGCTAAAATGGTTCTTTGCATGGTGAAATAGTTCTTCAGACTGATGGAGAATGTGCTGTAAATTGTTCCATATAGCACCAGAAAGGGTTCTGCTATAGTTACAATGTCAAGCCTCTAACAATAAAGGAATTTTAGCATGCAAATGGTTCTTTGAGTGTTCATGGTTCTATATAAAACCTTTGTATTTACGAAAGAACCCTTGAAGAGCCGGCTTTCTAAAGAGCATATCATAAAACAGTGTCTCAGTCATCAGGCAGTGAATTCATAACCATTTCATGTAGGAACTTTCTGTGAGGGAGCTTTTAGAGGTGGACGTCTGGTTCCTATCACCACCACTGTGAACAGTTCTGACTCGGTAAGTTTCTCTAGAACAGAGCGTTTCACACCAAACCACTCTGAACGACTCTGTTTACATCTTAACCACTTAATTATGCAGAAATTTTGAAACATCAGTGGAGTTCTCCTTTAAGGGTGGGCGATATGGCAAAAATGAGGTCGCAATACTTTAAAAGACATTTTTAGGCAGCATGATATGAATCACGATGCACCAGAAAAACAGCAGCGTTCAATAAAGTCTGGAAAAACTGAACAGACTGTTTAAGAAGGAACAGGAGGAGAAATCAGACCATTATTTTATTCATTTATTCATTTATTTTTAATAATGTCGTCCAGTCACCTCCTTGGGTAACACTTTATTTGAAGGCTACTTACATAAAGGCATCATAACACATGCATAAGCATTGAATAACACATTTATAAAGCAATGTTTGAGTCTTTATAAACAGTTAAACGCAAGCTGAAGAAAATAACACTGTATTGAAAAAAGGTTTTGTACTTTAACTCATGCAGAATTATGAAAATGATGCTTCATAATGGTCTTAAAAAATGAACAAATGGTAACACTTTACTGTAGGGTGCTGTTCATAAGGCAACATGACACCTACATAAGGTTGTCACGACAACTGACATAACCCTACTTAACTGTTTACAAATGCTTGTTCCAATAGTCATCATTCACTGTAAAGGTTACATTCGCTAATGTTGATCAAAGTCAGCTAAAGTAGACTTTATGACAGATGACGCCTGTTGTAATAAGTGTTATTTAGGGTCATGTCAGATGTAATAAAGTAATAAATATAAGTGCCATGTAGCCTTATGAACAGCACCCTACAGTAAAGTGTTTAGTCTAAGGTCCTTTATGTCAAAGCAGTGTCATTAATTCATAGAACATCTGATGTCATGTTGTGGTTTCTAGCATAAGTTGGTCATAAATAGTGAAATATTGCTTTGTAAGTATGTTGTTCAGTGCTTATGCATGTGTTATGCAGTCCCTATGTAGGTAGCCTTCAAATAAAGTGTTACGACTCCTTGTTACGATGCAGTTTATGCAGCTACTATGCAGTGGTTTTGTTTACAGCCTTTATATTTGGTCTAAATCTCTTTTTATGATTCATGCAGTTGTTAGAAGTGCTGACTGATCACACATTCGGAGTGTTGTGACAGAATTGATCACAATAATGATAACATCGTCAGATTGCCCAACCCTACCTTTATCTCTCCTACCATTGGGCAGCCTTGACTTTTGGCTTAAGTTATCTGGCTAACTGATAATCCTCCGTTGTAAAACGCTCTCGTTTGCTCTTCAGAGCCTCCGAGATCTTCCGGGAGTTTATTCTGTTCATTTCTGGTTCCACGTTCTCCTTCACTGCATGATGAAAGTGTTCAATCCTAGTTCTTTGCTGCCGTTCTGGTGCTGCTCGGTAACCACTCTGGACTGGTTCATTGCCACAAGCTGCAGTTGTTTTCCTTAAGTACCTAATTATTGTTATGATGATTATTTGTATTTTTGGGAACCCTCCACCCAGCTCGTTTCTGTATGTGTGATCATTTGGAGATTAGTGCCAGGTCTGATTTCTAACCCGTTCAGAACAGTTTATGGTATTTGTTTATTATGTTTCCTAATTTTGCTTTATAATATGCGTTTAAATGCATATCTAAATAAAACAAACATCAATAAATAAATAAATCCATATGCTTGTGTTACATTGGATTAAAGGTGAAATTGAAGCGCAAGTTTTAAGTTTTGGGCCCCCCCTATGCTAATGAACTTCAGCCCATGTTTATAGGTAACAGTGAGTCTTACAGGGTCAGAAACCACAGAATCAAGTCTATTAGAGACACTGAAGAGCTCCAGATTGAACATTTAAAAGGGAAATCCACTGAAATTTCAAAATTTCTGCATTAATTCAGAGCGGTTTGGTGTGAAATGGTTCAGATGTCTTTACAGTGGTGGTGATAGGAACCAGGGGTCGCCATGACTACAACACAGATATAGACATTTTATTTACTATCCAGAACCACCAGTGAACCTACACGAGTCTTCTGAGTTTATATGGAATGTTGATGATGGAAAATAGTGGAAAATCTGAAATAATAAGTTTTCTTTGGGGACTATTTTGCCTCACAACACCCTGCATATTACGTATCCCTCCACCATGAATGGAGTTTTAGGCCAAAATCTTCTCAAAACTATCATAAAACAGTGTCTCAGTCATCAGGCAGTGAATTCATAACCATTTCATGTAGGAACTTTCTGTGAGGGAGCTTTTAGAGGTGGACGTCTGGTTCCTATCACCACCACTGTGAACAACACGGTAAGTTTCTCGAGAACAGAGCGTTTCACACCAAACCGCTCTTTGTTTACCATTTAATTATGGAGGAATTTTATAAAAAATAATCCTTTAAAGCAGCTAACAGTGTTAGATGTGGGCATCCACTCCAAATTTGGTCGATTTATGAGTTATTTCTTTTCCCACCATTGAAACATCAGTGTTGGTATTTTAGAAAGCTTTTTATTTTTGCCAGATTTACAGCACTCGCATTCCTAAAAGAACACATTCAGCATTTATTTCATACATCCGCTAAACTATACGAGCTACCAGCTAATTCATGTACAGATTTACAGAGCTTTCCTGTATTTTACAGTCACTGCTGATCCACACTGAACAGCCCCTGTTGCGCTAAGAACCACCTGCCGTGTTTTTACTTTTTAATCTGAAAGCACGAGACGTATCAGTGAAGTGGAGCGAAGTTGGAGCGAATGAGGAGTAAAATGATCCGCTGGCCTGCTGCTAGCACTGCGCTAACCCTGATCCTGAGAGAACAAAGTCAGTTTAAGCTACTCAGGTTTCTCTGAATGGCCTGTAGTGGTGATTCCAAATAAAGGCACGTCTTGAATACATACACACTGGTGTCTACGGTTGATTCCAGAACACACTACAAACCTCAGTTCCAGAAAGGGTGGGGCAGTGTATGAAAATGCAGATAAAAACAAATATTTCCACAATAATAATCCACAATATATTTAAGGTCTTACCTTGTCAGCTTGGTCAACATTAGGTTTTTTAAATAAATATATGCTTGTTCTGAAATTGCAGCCAAAAAAGTTGGGACGGGCAATTTAGGACTAGGGACATGGAGAAGGATTACAGGTGATATAATCATGCTGATTTTGTCACTAATCCGATCAACACGTTTACATGCACTTGAGTAATCAGATAATATAGAAACTCCAGGTCTACATGTCAGACAGTGATCAGATTTATGCTTTGCAACCAGCCAATAAACTCACATATTTAAATCCCTCATTTCGTGTTTGGTTTCAGTGCCACTCCAACAGTGTTTTGCTGTGTCTCGCAACATCCACCGTCTGATCTCGCGCAGACTGAGAAATCCGAAAGAAATCAGAGTAAGAGTTCACATGCACTGAGAAATCTGATTACTGAGCTAAAATCCAGCCTTTTTATCAGATTTCTTCATCGGATTTCTAGATCGGAGTATGGTGTTTACATGACCATTTGAATAATCGGATACCTGCAGAAATCCGATTATGATCGGATGATTGAGTGCAGGTAAATGCACTCATTGGTTTTCATGCAGAATCTGAGCTTCTTCTGAAGAACGGTTGGTGAATGAGGCCCAAAGTTCCTCAACTGAGCAACTCAGTGATGGCAAGGATTTTTAAGTATTTCACCCTCAACGATGCATCTCATCTTCTAAAGATCCGGAGAATTCTCTGTGCGTAAAGAGCAAGGCCGAAATCCGCAACTGACCTTCGACCCCTGGGGTGGTACTGCATTAGAAACAGCATGTTTCTGATGGAGATCAGCACAGGGGCTCAGGAAAGCTTCGGAAACTGTTGTCTATAAACACGGTTCATCGCTGCATCCGCAAATGCAAGACAGCGGACCATCCAGACTGTTACCAGTGTAAAGTTTAAAGTCCTGTCATGGTATCGGGGGGGTTTAGTGACCACGTACACAGGGTAACCTTCATGCTGTCTTCTGTTAGAAATGCTGAAGCACAAAATAAAACAAAGATGTACAGGTTGCACAGCTGAACACTTGCATAACGACAGAATGGCAAAAAAATCACTTTCAAAACTGAATCATTTGACGTCTTCAGTCCTCAGACATTTCAGTGCTGTAGGAGAGGTGATGTAACAGTGTGTAAACCCCCCCTGGTATTCGGGGGTCCCATGTTGGCTGCTAACTCTCTCTCCATAGCGACGCTGATGCTTCAATGTCGGTAAATGTTTGTTTTATCAGTTCTTCTGTAGAGTCTCTGTTCTAGTGCGGTTCTGCGCTCTTCCTCACAGTAACTGAGATCTTCCTCGTCTCCTCTTCTGTAGAGTCTCTGTTCTAGTGCGGTTCTGCGCTCTTCCTCACAGTAACTGAGATCTTCCTCGTCTCCTCTTCTGTAAAGTCTCTGTTCTAGTGCGGTTCTGCGCTCTTCCTCACAGTAACTGAGATCTTCCTCGTCTCCTCTTCTGTCTTCAGTGTGAGAAGTGAGGAACAGTCACTCTTCACTCCAAACTCTTGGGAAACTGGGCGAGTTTTCAGATTTACAGATCTGCTGCAGCTCATTGTAAAGTGTTTCAGAGGAGTCCGGGCAGAGTTACAGTTTCTAGGCTACGAAGGACCAACTGGGTGAACCAGTCTGCTACAGCGCCACCCTGAGGCAGAGCAGCGCTGCAGCTCTAGTTAGTTAAGAACACCAAAGACAGAAGCTGATGGTGAAATACGATCAATAATGAGCTTCACTGGATTTTTCCTGATTTAAGGGTCTATTTTTCCCTAACAAACTGCATAAGTTAAGGGACCCCTCAGAATTTTGACATTCAGGGGGTCCAAGAGATTAGTTATTGGGTCCCGGACCCCCCCAGGACCCCCTGTATTTCGCACCTTGGCTCCTGTCCCAACTTTTTTTGGAACGTGTTGCTGGCAACAAACTTGGAATTAACATATATTTTAAAAAAGTTTATAAGATAAAACAAATATGATCTTTTTATTCTGGTTTTAATTTAATACAGACCAAAATTTACTAATCACTGCTCTCAGTCTTCATTAGCATTTCACATACTGTCCCAACGTTCATGGAACTGAGGTTTGTACAGTGATTCCAAATACGATCTCCAGCATGACTGTTTATGGAAATTCAAAGCTACAGTCAACAGGTGGCAAAATCAACATGCATCTATACTGTATATCAGGGATGTTAGCTGGCGAAACTCGGGCTGAGCTTCAGTTTCACCGGCTGATCTATGAGGAATCTGGTCATTAGCTATGCTCTTCTCTGGCTCCTCATTACAAGGAACCTGCTTTAGCGAATGAAATGTTCCTCGAGGTTTTTCTTCATGATCCCCGTCTGTCTTTGTGCTGAAGCTCGTTGGGCTGGAGCTCCTGCGGTGCTGCTGCTGTTGGTGGATTGACCGTGTCTCGCTCTGATGGAAGACGGCTTCTTCTTCCCACAGTTCCCCACTCATCACGTCTGTTTATGTTCTCCAACACCATCAGCCTGGAGGAAGGAGAAGAGGCCACTTAGTTTCCCTGCGCTGTGTATATCAAAAACCTCTGAGTTAAATACACACTTATCGTCAAAAATAATAGTTGCACCCAGAAGGAAATGTCGGATTGCAATGCTATTCGGTCACTCAATGACAGTCTGGCACGACACCATTGCAGTATTTGGCGATGTTGACGTGGTGTTAAGGGTGGTTGTCATAGCGCTCTGCGTGTATGTAGTCCTGCGTCGTGCAGCCATCTGCCAATGGTGCTGGCACTACTAGGATGACTCGTGGAGGGCATCACTGCTCACTGAATGTTGGGTCACTCCGGACACGTCAGACATTCCGTCGGTTCTCTCTCTCTGTGATTCATGTAGGTCTCCCAGATCCTTCATGTCGCTGGTTCATGCCTTCTGCTATCCACTGCTGCTAACAGATGCTATGGTAATATCTGCACGGCCGGTATGGCACGCAGTACGTCAATAAGACCATCCCTCTTCCTGGAGCCCTACGATGCGACCCCTCTCCAACTCTTCCAACTGCTCTAATTGCTAATTACTCTTCTCCGAGGCAGACTCACCAGCACAAAATGGAGAGCGTGCAGGACGGGACGACCTTATGTAGTCAGTCAGTTACAGCGATAAGGCCCGTCCTTGCTTATGTCACGTGGGCGGCTGAGCGTGAAACTTGAATCACTTGCATGTCTCATGATGTCAAACCTACCCACCAAGTTTCATTCCTGTCGGTTGATTCCTTCTGGGTGCAACTACTTTTTGTCGACGAGTGTAATAATCCGTTGAATATACTTAGTAACTCAGTACTGCTAATAACAGCGAGATCATCAGCACCTCCGGTTCTCTGAACACTACTGACTTTCTCACACAGAAATGCAGCTCAAAATGCTTCTGAAAGGTGCTGTTTTAAGTGTGTATTCACCCTGAGCGGTCAGTAGACTCTCCCTCAGGAGAACCGTGACCTCCTGCAGCTCCTGCTCGGCCTCCCGCACGTTCGGGTCCAGCTGAAGAACCTCCTGCAGGTCGGTGCTGGAGGACAAGTAATCCTGCAGGAGATAAAACGCACCAGATTATCATCTTATATCAGTAAACATGTGGAGGCCTAATAAACTAAGCGATTGCTTGAGGGCCCCCGAGCACTAAACACCAGTCTGATAATGTCCAAAGTCCATCCTCACAGACTTTACAATGGACTGAGCCTCACTGATGCCTTCATATGCTTTGGTCACAGTTTTTGACAGACGAGAGCACAAATCTAATGTAAAGGAAACTTAATGGATGAAAGAGCTAATTAACAGAAACCAACCCGACCATTAAGAAAGCTGAGCATCAGCCTTCAACACTACAGCTGAGAAGGGTCTGACCAGAGCCTGTTTATGAGGAGTCTGGCCGCTTCCTATTTCCCCTGTTATATAAAGAACAGGACTGCTAAACAGCAGAGGGCGCCCACGAGCGAGTCCTCAATGAATGGAGGTGAGTGGAGCTTAATAAATACAAACGAAAAGTTAAAATTGTTTCTAATCACTGAACCAGAACTTTCCTTTCATTTTAGACAGTAGAAGAATGGATTTCACTAAAAAAGCAAAGAAAACTCACCTGTATGTTTCCTTTTCTCTACAGCAAACGGGTTTTGGGCAGCAGGATGCTAACATTACTGCTACTGAGTGCTGATTGGTTGGTGAGCGGAGCAGCTCATTGGCTGTTCACGCCCACTGACGTTATCAACGTACATGAGGCGCCGTTTTAAACTCCTATAATTCGAGTTTAAAAGCTCTTAAAATATAACAGCGGTGTTAAAATGTTTTATGCTGTTCTGTGTTCAGGATATGAATGAATTTGTTTATTAAAAGTGTTTAAACATTTATAAACTATGGTTTTGCTCAAATGCTCCATCTTAACCCATTCACTTTGGACTCACTCGGGAGCGCCCTCTAGAGTTTGAGAAACCCGTAAGACATTACAGAGTGGAAATTCTCCTCTGGTCTGACTGCAGATCTCCACCCGCAGTTTCAGTCCAGCGGTTTCAGGCCAGTGGAGCTCATACGCAGTAAGACAGAGTGACTGTGCCCTGTAAACAAAGTCCTTATAAGAAAAGTTTGAGCGTCACATTCATATTCTGATGTAAACAGCAACTGTTTGGGCTGGTTGTATGTGTCCTCATGCATATTAGCATTCAGGAAGGGATATCATTGCTAAGCTACGAATCAACCACTGGTAACTTTTAAACCAAAAGCCTAAACACATTACAGAACCATCAGAAACAAAACGAAACACTTAATGGTTCCTATGGGGTTTCAGCAGGGATATGTTATTCCTGTACATGTAATGTAAGTGTTCACATTAAGCCCCGTATTAAGGGTAAGTTAACTGAGCTGTATGTCTACATAACCCATTAGTTTACCCAGAGCCACATAAGATGTAGTTTGTGTAATATTTACCCTTTGTTTTAGTCTAAAGCTTAAAATATAACGTTAGCCCAACACAAATATACCACAAATTTTTTGGAAACTCACATAAAACGACAGAAATGTTAATTAGACTAAAACTCGCTAAGAGAAACCAGAACAAGTGTCGGCTCATGTGCTGAATGGCGCTGGCTTAAACCTGCTGGAGCGAAACTGTGGCTCTGCGGCTCTGCAGACATTGTTGGCGTGGCTACAGTATTAACCTCACCAGGCTGCAGAGGAGCAGTAGCCAATGAGCCAAGTTAGCCAGGTAGCCTACAGGATCACTGTTTGGGTCTACAGCAATGCACAACAATGAAGTGCTGAAAAAGTGCTCAAAATTACTGAAAAACTCAGCGAGGGAGCAACATATTACTGCGAAACTGAACTCATTTCCCCAGACGCACTAAAACATGCCAAAACTTTCATAATCCTCATTATTTTGTTATCCCTCCACAAGTCCAGCTCTTACTCAGCATGCAGCAACAATATAATATTAATAATAATAATAATCGTTATTTATAGAGCACTTTTCATGCTGGTGGCAGCTCAAAGTGTTTCACAGACAGGAGGTGAAGCTTAACAGTAAAAAAACTAAGAGTATTAAAATTTATATAAGTAACTGTAGAACTACAAAGTGCTCCTGTATGGTCAGTGGAGCTGATAAAATGGACAATGAGTGTAGAAACAAGGAGGTGGACATAAAAATTTCATGTCTAGAATTAAATCTTATGTTAACTTACACTGGAAGTTAAGAATGTTCTCTCCTGCTCCTGTAAAGCTACGTTTTGGAGAAGGTTACAGCTGCTGGGTTGAGAGTTTGAGATATTAAGTTAATTTTCTGTGTCCTCCTCTGATAAAGCGTTCTAATCGAGCAAATCACAAAGGTATTTACCAAAATGATTTTCATATATATATATATATGTGTGTGTAAAAAAAGTGGTGTCAGTATTTGTGGTTGACCCAAAGTGGAACCCCTTAGAACATCCAGCATCTTCCAGCATGGAAACTGAAAGACTTAAATTACCTTCTCATTCGGATTTTAAAAGAATGCACTCTTTCAGTAATTTCATCACACTCGTCCTTTCTAGTCATTATCGTTTAGTTCCTGGCTCCTTTTTGGGGTTTAATTCTGTACAAACTTCAGTTTCTATATGACTTATTTTTTAAGTTTCCGTTCCACCTTAAATGGTGCAGCTGGTACGTTCTGCCACCTCAGGCATCAGAATGGAACAGCTGCACCAGTTAAGACGGAACAGAAACTTAGAATAAAAATAAGTCATATAGAAACTGAAGTTTGTACAGAATTAAACCCCAAAAAGGAGCCAGGAACTAAACGATAATGACTAGAAAGGACGAGTGTGATGAAATTACTGAAAGAGTGCATTGATCTTCTGTTTGTGCCAAACATGGCATTATTCATTATTTGTTACATATCACTGCTGTAAAACCTCGTATCTCCATTTTTGTCGTTTTTCAGTTTTGACATAATTTGAAAAAGCCTGTTGTTCTTTACATTGTGTGTAAATTTCATGATGAATGGACCAAAAGAAACATCCCAGAATGACTTGTTAAAAAGTCTGGTTCCATTGACTTACATTAGAAGTAAAGTAGGTTTTTTCCTTCTCCTGTAAAGTTACCAAGATACAAGGTTTTGTTCCGACAGCAGCGATATATTTTTTCTCACTTTATTTCTTTGAATTTGTTTGTTGCTTGTCTGTTGCACTTGGTTACACATTTATTAAAAACAACAAAAAGATTTGCAAAAAAAAGAAGTAAAATTATTAGTGTTTGAAAATACTCAGGAAAGCACAAAAGGTTACAGCGGCTGTGCTGAGATATTACTTTCATTTTTCATACAGTGACCCGTCCCAGAGGAAAGAAACTCTTTCTTAAGATTGTCTCAGAGACATACAGCATATCTCAATATTATATTAATGAAGGATCACTGATTTCTGAGTTGTTTCTCTTAAAGGAGAAAAGAGGAGATTAACATCAGCATTTCACTGTGAGAATCTCTGGTGATGAAGGAGAAAAGCGTGAGTTCTCCTTCTGCGCTGACAGACTGCGGAGAGAGTTCTGTGATCTAGAACAGAGCTGTATAAGAGAACGGTGAGATCTCACACTTTTCTCATGGAGATATTATCCAGCTCAGACTGGACTGAGACGAGTCAGAGACTACAGAGTTATTATTCCACATGTGTGACAATATTTAGATCAAAACAGGAGAAAACGGCTTCAGCCTCACTCTCAAACTGGACTTAACCGGGTCTAGAAGAACATGAGCTCTCAGTTAGAACAGTTCTTTCCTCTGGGGTGTCTGGGGTGAGCGAATCACAAGCGTATTTACCAAAATGATTTTCATATAAAAACGGTCAGTAATCACCTTCAGGCCCTTGTGCGCGAGAGCCCGTCTGTAGAACGCTTTCTTATTGGCCGGCTCAATCTGAAGAGCTGAATCGCAGTCCTGCTTCGCTTCTTCATATCGGTCCAGTTTGAGGTAACACAGCGCTCTAGAACACAGAACAGATCATAGTTTAAAAACCTATTCAGTCACATTTATTGGGCTTAAAAAGGGTTCTTTAGTAAGGGTTCTATTCAGGACCATGAGTACTATACAGAACAATTTCATGCTTAATGGTTCTCTTCATGATGAAATGGTTCTTCAGATTGAAAGAGAATGTGTTGTATATGGTTCTATATAGAACATTTTTGAAAAGGCTTCTATACAGCATCAACAAGGGTTCTTCAAGCGTGACATCATAACCATGGAAGAACCTTTTTTGGTGCTGTGTAGAACCATACAACACATTCTCCATCAATCTGAAGAACAATTTCACCAATCAAAGAGCCATTTAAGCATGAGATGGTTCTATATAGGTTCCCATTCAGAGCTGTTTGGTGTGAAACGCTCCGTTCTAGAGAAACGTACTGAGTCAGAACTGTTCACAGTGGTGGTGATAGGAACCAGACGTCCACCTCTAAAAGCTCCCTCACAGAAAGTTACTACAGTAAATGGTTATGAATTCACTGCCTGATGACTGAGACACTGTTTTATGATAGTTTTGAGAACTTAAACTACATTCATGGTGGAGGGATACATGCAGGGCGCTGTGAGGCAAAATAGTCCCCAAAGAAAACTTATTATTTCAGATTTTCCACTATTTTCCATCATCAACATTCCATATAAACTCAGAAGACTCGTGTAGGTTCACTGGTGGTTCTGGATAGTAAATAAAATGTCTATATCTGTGTTGTAGTCATGGCGACCCCTGGTTCCTATCACCACCACTGTAAAGACATCCGAGTCTCTACAATCAGCAGTTTTGATTCCAAAACACTAAATTATGCAGAGATTATGAAAAATCATTTACCCCTTTAAATTTATTTATCACTCCGATTTTCCGTTCCACCTTAAATGGTCCAGCTGTTACATTCTGCCACCTCAGGCACCAGAATGGAACAGCGGCACCATTTAAAGTGGAATGAAAACACTGAATGAGAAGTTGGTAAATAAGTCATATAGGAACTGAAGTTTGTACCTAATTAAACCCAAAAAAGGAGGCAGAACTAAATGCTAATGACTAGAAGGGAACTGGAGTAGATTCCTCACTGATATAAAACTCGAGCAGAAGTAAAAGTATTAGCCTTTGAAAGTACAAATGCTTTAAAATATTGTCCTAGAGAGATGTGTTATCCAACGTAGCCAAGACTTTAGTAGAAATATTTAACCAAGTCCATTTCAAGCCCATTTAAGCCCATCAAATATGACTTAATGACAATAACTTTATTTATAGAGCACTTTTTGTAGTGGTGGCAGGTCAGAGTGCTTTACAGACAGGTGATGAAGCTCAACAGCAACAGAAGAAACTATAAGTATAAGTTTAAACTCATATAAGTCAATAACACAGATCAGATTAGATAGTAGAGTTTTACTGAAGCTCTGAGTTAAAGAGCTACGTTTTCAGATGTTTATTAAAAGTGAGCTCTGAGCTCGACTGTCTAATAAAAGCTGAACTGAGCTCCACAGTTTAGAAGCAGAATAACTGAAAGAGTCTCTCCACGTTTTCTGTGTTTTACTGAAGGAGTTCAGAAGGTCAGAATCTGCAGATCTGAGATCATAAACAGACGTTCAGGAGCTTTAAGGTCATTTAGAGCTTTAAAAACCAGCAGCAGAGCTTTAAACTCTCTCTAACAGATCCAGGCGGTCAGTGCAGCGTGTAACGGGGGGGATATGAGCTCTCTGTGTTGGTGCTGTGAGGATCCGTGCTGCTGCGTTCTGTATGGGTTGTAGAGGATGGACTGTTTTCTAAGGGAGGTCAGTAAACACTATAAATACACGACTGTATTTATGTTATGTAATTTATTTCTGTAATTCCTTTAGAGTTATAATAGATTCTCTGAGTAAACCAGTCCAGTCCAGTCCAGTCCAGTCCAGTAGTGATGCTGAGTGAAATGAAGCTCAGTGTTGACGTGTCTCAGCACATTCAGACGGCTGACTGGAGCAGAAACAGCATCAGCACCGCTCTGCAGCACCTGCTCCATCACAGACTCCATTAAGGCTCTATAATTAGTCTGGAATTAGTGGACGCGTAATGAACTCTAAAGCTCACAGACAGCACTCCTCTCTGCACACTCCTCTCTGCGTACTCCTCTCTGCGTACTCCTCTCTGCGCACGCTTTGCTGATGTTTACTTTGCGTTTTTGTGGAGTTCAGCGTTTCTCCACTTTCCTGTGGCCGTGATTTCCTGTAGAGGTGCACGATATGACGATCTGTTATCACTATTGTGATAAACTCTTTCACGATACTCCTCTCTGAGAATGTGATGGGTGTGGTCAGCATTTCTAAAACACTGAGTGTGTTTACATGCACTCAATAATCTGATCATGATCGGATTTCTGCAGTTATCTGATTATTCAAATGGTCATGTAAACACCATACTCTGATCTAGAAATCAGATACAGAGGCTGGATTTTAGCTCAGTAATCAGATTTCTCAGTGCATGTGAACTCTTACTCTGATTTCTTTCGGATTTCTCAGTCTGAGCATGTGTGCGACGGTACCGAGCAGCGAACAGCGTCACCGCGAGACGCAGCAAAACACCTTTGAAGCGACAATGAAACCAAATACATGCTTGACGAAATGAAGGGTTTAAATATTCTTTATTTTCTAGATTATGTATTTTCATATTTTCAGGTAATGTTTTTTCAAAGCTGCAGTATGAAGTTTGAGTTTTACGTCACGTCTTCTTCTGTGAGTCTATTGGCTGGTTGTAAAGCAGAAATCTGATTACTGTCTGACTCCTGTAGACCCAGAGTTTCCCCATTATCTGATTACTCAAGCGCATGTAAATGTGTTGATCGGATTACTGACAAAATCTGATTTTCTGCAGTTTTAGGATTATTAAGTGAATGTAAACACACTCACTGAACAGCAGCATAGATCACAAAAAGACACAGTTTGACCAATTATAGAGCCTGAAAACAACAACAACCAGAGTATAATAACGCATAGTAACAAGTAACTGATTGGATGGCAGCCGGTTATGACATCATCTAATTTTATTCATGTTTTAACCAATTGTTTCATTTTCCCTCTTGTTCCTGTTGAATAATAAATAAAAATGACTGGTCCTCATTTACCAACCGCTGTTTTCTCCTTAAAACCCACTTACGCAGTTTTTATGAAGGCTCTGAGATTCACCAGTGTTCTCTTATGTGGGGTTTGTTCTTAGGTAAGAACATAATCTACACACTGAAGAGCACAAAGGGGAGAACAGTTCTGCGCTTTAAGAACACGTCATGAATCAGACGCAGACTTTTTCTTAGGACCTTTCTCAAGAACACAGTTAAGAACAGACCTAGAATGATATTGGAGAACGAGGCCCAAAGTTCTCATAGTGAACACTGTCATTTAAAAGTTTGGAATCACTTGTCATAATAATAAAAGTTATTTATTAATTCATTCTCCATGTTCTACAGGTTTCTCATCTGTTGTGGAATCATCTACACTGTTGAATATTTCTACATTTTCACAGCTGCCTACAAACTCTTTGAAATGTGTAGAATATTATTATTCATATTAATGATTTTGTTCATGCATCTGCAACAAAACTGTTTTTAGATCAGCAAACGTGGTGATTCCCGTTCTTTGGACTGTACTGTGGTTCTGCTGGTGTCTGAAAAAACAAATACTGTGATACATATCGCGTCGCAAGAAAATGTCTGAGTTGGAGCTGGGCAGTATGACAATATTCATCGTTATCGTGATAAATTACATCACAATATGTCACAATATGCTTTTCTGAGTATATCACAGATATCAGTCATCTCCAAACTGCATGTTTGATTATAAAAACAGCTTAATTAGCCCTGTTTAATTGGATTTACTGCAGCTCAGTGTGTGAGATGTTGAATACAAGTAATTGGATTCATAGTTTGATAGTATTTTTGAAATGTGGCACTGCTTTGTCCACTTTCACTTATCAGATGTCAGAAAAAATGACACTGTGTCTCTAAAAAAGCTTCCTGAAGTATTGTGATGTTAGATTTTGCCGTATCGCCCAGCTCTACTGAGTCTAATACTCCAGTTCTGATCTCCTGCTCCTGGTTCTGCGGTACCTGTTGGTGTAGATGGAGCACTCGCTGGGTTTGAGCTTGAGGCACTCGCTGTATTTCTCCATGGCGCTCTGGAACTGGGCTTTCTTCACCAGCTCGTTGCCCTCCTGCTTCAGCAGAGTGAAGCGCGCCTCCGTCTGTCTGGCTGTGAGGAGAGAACAACAGCTGTTCACACCTGCTCACTCGCACTGTTACTCTGGAAACCAGCCGTGAGTGTGCACACAAGTGTGAGTGTGAACTATAACAGAGGATAACAGATGAAAACAGTGTTGATTTACTGTAAAACTAAACTGTATGAGTGTCTGAGTTTATGATGATGATGATGATTAAATCTGCACACATTTAGAGGAAACAGACTGGAACAGCACACAGTTCTGTTTTCAAAGTACAAACATAGAACAGCTTTAAGCAGGACATCTTGCCCCATTAGAAGCCCCCCTTCCTGGGATAAGAAGCTCCCCCCTACCTGGAGTAAGAAACCCCTCCGTACCAGGGTTAAGAAGCCCCCCTACCTAGGGTACAAAGCTCCACTACCTGAGGCAAGAAGTCCTCTTACCTGTGGTAAGAACCCCCTCTACCTGGGGCAAGAAGCCCCCTACCAGGATTAAGAAGCCCCACTACATGTGTTAGAAGCACCACTTGTGAATTGTGCATAAATTTCACATCAAAGTTTTGCAAAATGTAAAACTTTACAAAACGGGACATCTTGTCCTATTAGAAGCCCCCCTCTACCTGGGTTAAGAAGCCCCCTCCTCACCCCCCCCCCACCTGGGTTAAGGACCCCCCCCCACACACACACACTTGGGTTAAGAGGTCCCCCTACCTGAGGTAATAAGCCCCCTTACATATGTTAAGAAGGTCCCCCTACCTGGGATAAGAAGCCCCTTACTTGGGGTAAAAAGCCCCCATTTGTGATTCTTGCATAAATTTCCCATCAAATATTTACAAAATGTATCATTTTTGTGACAAATATTTTTAGTGTTTGCATTTTCCAAAAAAAATATTATTAATTAAAGAACAATTTCGCTTAGAGATTCTACTTCATTTAAATAAACTACAGCGAAAGACAAAGCAGACAGCTGTGTTAACTAATTAGTTTTTGTGATTATACAGCAATTATAATAATAACAATTTAAACCCAAACATAAAGGAAATATATTTCCATATATTTTTCAAAATATGGGTCAAGTTTGTAATATACTTCCATCTGTGCTTGAAAAATACTATTACATTTATTTAATCTACATATGTGCACATATGTCAATATATTGGCAGGTATGTGGATATGTTGGCATATTTGAATATTTTAAAATATCACATATATTACACAAATGTTTTTAATATGAGCAAAAATATAAACATATATATTTGTCCTCCAGATGGGAGCAAAGCAGTGGCATTGAGTATTGAACTGTTAGGTGTAAAAGATAACCAGACAGATCAGATAAAGTGCAGATATAAAACTGTAAAACTCACACAAACTCGTCCAGCCAGACGCTAAAAACGTTCTCTGGTTCTAGCTAACGATCGCTACAGCTATTTAGACCACAGGCATTCAGTAAATGTGTAGAGTTTAGATTGAGCCCTGTCATTTCAGTAGGAGAGAGGGGGCACATAGGGGGGCACCTTTCTCCGTTTTGACGTACGGTTCTAGGAAAAACATTTAATCGGTATAGAACATTTACATTATGTGGACATTCTTTAAACTTTTAAAAAGGCCCATTTTCACCAGGCAGAAATGTTAATATGCCTTCAGTGTGTCAAAATCTTGAATCAGTCTCTCTGAATAATGTCTTATTCTTAAAATACTGATGCGCAATGTCGAAATAATGACGTACTCTGTCACAATAATGACATAGTATCTCATAATAACTATGTATTACCCTGAAATAATTTTCTTAAAATACAATAACTTTATTAAACATTCCATCCCAACATGATTCAAAATGATGTCATTATTTCAAGAAAATAAGACATTATATCAAGATGACAAATCAATATGTTGACAAAATGTCATTAGTTTGAGACAGTAAGTCAATATTTTGAGAATAATTGAGAGGTGCAGCTTTATTTTTAAGAGTGTGTTTAATTAACTTAGCATTTAATTAAAACTCTGTGTCTCGTGGTATTTATATTTTTTGGATCTGTGGCATTTTCTCATATGATTCTATACTTTATTCACCTGTCTTTCATGCCACCAGCATTAAAACTGCTATATAAATTATTATTATTATTATTATTATTATTATGAACCCTTTAAACACCCAGAACCCACCGGTGGGCCCAAAGTGTTATTACACACTTCTATAACCAGAGGAAAGCTCAACTAGTTTGCACTGAAGCCCCTGTAGTTACTGAATAATAAGCCTTAGTATGTAATAAGCTATTAGTGCCAGTTTATTTTGGAGTCATATCATTTTGTATGATTTAATATCAGTTATATTTGCCGATATTAGCTCCTTGAAATCAGTATCGGTGACCAAACGTTCATATAAATCCAGCTCTGATGAACAGCTCTGTGAAGATGCTCACCTCTCGCTCTGCTAGTCTGACATAACGTCCTGTGACAGAGCGCACGCTCCGCCGTGTAAATACCACATAAACACGAGCAGGTGAACTCTAAACCCCCCCGAACTCTGCAGTCAGTCAGGTACGGCCTGCCCACCGAGGCCTGAAGGACACCTGAGCCGCCCTGTTCCATTACGAACGACAGCCGCTTCAATTACTCTTCTACATAAAAGATTCAGCTGACAGATGCTGCAGTGCTGACACACACGCTCAGCCGCGCAGTGCTCTGCAGTGTGTGTGTGTGTTTGTGTGTGTGTGTGTGTAAACTGGTTTGAATGCCTCGGTCTGTTTGATCTGATCATGCAAAGTAAAGACACGCCAAACTCACACAGAACCAGCTCACGCAAGCAGATGAATCACAATGAAAACCTGCCGTCAGCGCAGACCGCTAAGATAAACGTAGATTGTGTTCCACTGAACAAATGAATGAACAGATGTAATTAGTTCATCTGTCAGTAAAAACGTGCTGACCTGAAGGAGCAGCTTGGTGTAAAATCCAGTTTTCCGCTCTTGTAATTATCGCACAAGTTTGCGTAGTTTAAGCACTGAAGCTATGAGGCTAATATAGCTAACAAGTAATGCTAGCTTACAGCTGCTAGGTTAGCACTCCTAAATCATCACACAACCTTAAAGCGTGTGGAGGTGTTCAGTTTCTCTAATAGACTTGAATATGTGGTTTCTGACACTGTATGAAGTCTGCACTGCTGCGGATTTCCACTGGACCTGCCACAATTTTCAGTGTTGTGTGCGGGAGCGGGCGGGAAACCAGCCCACTGCAGGTGGGAGCGGGATAAACCATGCATGAAGAGAAATCACAGCCTAAATAAAGTAGAATGATCACTAAATCATATAAACGATATAAAATGATAACAGTAAAACAGTTAAATGACTGAAGTCATTCTAAAGAGCTGTGAAGCAGCTGATCACGTAGATTCTCGTAGCTCACAGAGACGGCAGAGCCTTCAGTTCGGCGGCCACAGCGGCCCAGCAGAACACCAAAGATGACCGCTCTGTGGTTTAATTCCTGCTCTGTGTTTAAATGGTGAATAAATGCTGTTTGGTGAAGTTACTCACAGTTAGCCTGATGACCACGACTGACCTGTTATTTCAGCAGAGGATAACGTATTTATGAATAGATATTGATATCAGATACTGTATGTCAGTTCACTTTGATGAGTCTGCATGGACGGGAGCGGGACAAATGATTCCAATTTTCGGCGGGAGCGGGATTAAATCTTGGGGGAGTGGGCGGGAGCGGGACTGCAAAAACAGTCCCGTTCGGACTTTTACTCTATGACTCACTGTTATCTATAATCATGGACTAAATTCGGAGGTAAAATGCACTGCAATACTGAAGAATAAAACTTTCCTGCTAGAAAAACAAACAAAACCAGCATTTGTTGTGTTTTGGATGCTGATATGCTGGTCAACCAGCATGAGAAGCAAAACGAGTACCAGACTAGCACAAACCAGTTTAGACCAGCATGGAATTCAAGGTGGTAAGTGGGGGGAAGTTGTGTAAATTAGTGTAAATTAGTGTAAATTGTGTAAACGTCAATGCAGGCTGACAAATTCGAAGTGATAGTTGAGCCAAAAACCTGAATTTAACCAGTTTCCACAAACTATGCAGGTTTGGTGTCAGACAAGCTACGAGGCTGAAAAAGACCGTTCTTCAAGGGTTCTTTAGTAAAAGGAATTAATCTATTTAGAACCATGAGTTCTACACTTGCATGCTTGTTTTTTTTCTTCAGATGGATAACGAGTGTGTTGTATATGGACCCTTTTTTAAGAAATGGTACTTAATAGCACCAAAACTGGTTCTGCTGTTGTTACAAACTTGACCTCGTAACAATAACAGAACCGTTTTTGTGTTGTATTTGGTTCTATATAGCATGGTTTGTCAACCACTGGACTGTGGGCCAAACTTGGGCTGCTAATTGCCTTTTGGTGGTCCTTGGACAAAACACCCCCCCCCAAAAAGAAATTGTACTATTATTGCTATGAACCCAGAACACTTTTTGGTTCTATACAGTACCATTTTCAAAAAGGTTCCATACAGAATCATGCACAACACATTCTCTATCAATCTGAAGAAGTATTTCACTATGCAAAGAACCATTTAAGCATGCAAATGGTTTTATACAGAACTCATGGTTCTAAATAGGACCATTCCATTTACTAAAGAACCTATGAAGAACCATCTTTTTTAGGTGTGTAGTTGACAAGTAATGGAAGAACCGCACCAATTAGCATAATCGCTCGCATAAATCATGATTTGATTTTCTTTTGCTTTTTCTTTAAAGCAGGTTTTTGGTACAAACTTAAAAAAGATGGTTCTTTAAGGGTTCTTTAGTAAAGAAAATGGCTCTATATAGAACCACAATCCCTCAAAGAACCCTCTGCATGATTAAAGGGTCCTTTGCTTCATCGAACGGTTCTTCAGATTGATGAAGAATGTGCTGTAGATGAAAAAGGTTCCATATAGCACCAAAAAGGGTTCTTCTCTTGTTACAGGCTTGACATCATAAGAATAGCAGAACCCCTTTTGTTGCTATATAGAACCGTTTTATAGAGTACCATATACAGCACTCTGTAATCTGCAATCTGAAGAACGCTTTCATGATGCAAACAACCCTTTAATCACGCAAAGGGTTCTTTGAATGTTCATGGTTCTGTATAGAACCATTGTCTTTAAGTGTGGAGTGATGAATGCAGTAGTAAGTGACATTATCGTAACCTTTCTCCTGCTCTGCTCGAGCCGCTCTGGCCTGTAGAGCCTCAGCGCTGGGCTCTTCTCTGCGGTGCTGCTGCGCTGACAGCGGAACCACAGGAATCTCCGGAAGTTTCTCTCTCCAGTCCGGACCGTCCTGCTCGATCAGCAGCTTCGTGATCCTGACGAAGTACAAAACATTACGCAAGATTCGTTTACATAAACAGTCTAACCTCAGCATTTTCCTCCAGCCAATAAGCAAAACCTCGTACCTCCACTTTTCAGTTTTTGACATATTGTGAAAATGCCTGTTACCCTTTACATTGTGTGTAAATTTCATGATGAATGGATTAAAAGAAACGACCTAAAATGACTTGGAAAATTCTGGTTCCATTGACTTACATTAAAAGTAAAGTAGGTTTTTTCCTTCTCCTGTAAAGTTACCATTTTGGAGATACGAGGTTTTCTTCAGACAACAGCGATATAGTTGTATATAGAACCTTTTTGAAAATGGTTCTATGATATTGATATTGTTACCAGCTTGGCATCATAACAATAGCAGAACCCTTTTTTGTGCTATATAGAACCATTTTCAACACATTCTCCATCAATCTGAAGAACGCTTTCACCATGCAGGGAACCATTTAAGCATGTTAATGTTATTTGTGTTTACTTAATATTATTGTTTTCTAAGCAAATCACTCACTGGCCAGATAAAGAGCATTTTTATATGTAGTAATATATAACCCTTTTTGGTACTATATACAATAGTAATTTTCTCAGGTGGCTAAAGCTCGTATAGTGATCTATATAACACAACAAAATGAAAATGTGGAAAAGTAGCACCAGAGCCGGTTAATGAAGAGTCTGGCCTCTTCCTGTTTCCCTCCTTATATCAAGAACAGGACTGCTAAACAGCAGAGGGCGCCCGCGAGGGAATGAATGGGAGTGAATGGAGCTCAACGGCTAAAAACTAAATGTTAAAATAGTTTCTAATCACTGAACCAGAACTTTCCTTTCATTTTATACAGTAGAAGAATGTATTTCACTAAAAAAAGCAAAATAAATTTACCTGTATGTTTCCTTTTCTCTACAGCAAACGCTAACATTACTGCTACTGAGTGCTGATTGGTTAGCATTACTGCTACTGAGTGTTGATCGGTTAGCATTATTGCTACTGAGTGTTGATTGGTTAGCATTACTGCTACTGAGAGCTGATTGGTTAGCATTACTGCTACTGAGTGCTGATTGGTTAGCATTACTGCTACTGAGTGTTGACTGGTTAGTATTACTGCTACTGAGTGTTGATTGGTTAGCATTACTGCTACTGAGTGTTGATTGGTTAGCATTACTACTACTGAGTGCTGATTGGTTAACATCACTGTTACTGAGTGTTGACTGGTTAGCATTACTGCTACTGAGTGCTGATTGGTTAACATTACTGTTACTGAGTGTTGATTGGTTAGCATTACTGCTACTGAGTGTTGATCGGTTAGCATTATTGCTACTGAGTGTTGATTGGTTAGCATTACTGTTACTGAGTGTTGATTGGTTAGCATTACTGCTACTGAGTGTTGATCGGTTAGCATTATTGCTACTGAGAGCTGATTGGTTAGCATTACCGCTACTGAGAGCTGATTGGTTAGCATTACTGCTACTGAGTGCTGACTGATTAGCATTACCGCTACTGAGTGCTGATTGGTTAGCATTACTGCTACTGAGTGCTGCTACTGACTGCTACTGCTACTGAGAGCTGATTGGTTAGCATTACTGCTACTGAGTGCTGATTGGTTAGTATTACTGCTACTGAGTGTTGATTGGTTAGCATTACTGCTACTGAGTGTTGATTGGTTAGCATTACTACTACTGAGTGCTGATTGGTTAACATCACTGTTTCTAAGTGTTGATTGGTTAGCATTACTGCTACTGAGTGCTGATTGGTTAACATTACTGTTACTGAGTGTTGATTGGTTAGCATTACTGCTACTGAGTGCTGATTGGTTAGCATTACTGCTACTGAGTGTTGATTGGTTAACATTACTGCTACTGAGTGCTGATTGGTTAGCATTACTGCTACTGAGTGTTGATTGGTTAGCATTACCGCTACTGAGTGCTGATTGGTTAGCATTACTGCTACTGAGTGTTGATTGGTTAGTATTACTGCTACTGAGTGTTGATTGGTTAGCATTACTGCTACTGAGTGTTGATTGGTTAGCATTACTACTACTGAGTGCTGATTGGTTAACATCACTGTTACTGAGTGTTGACTGGTTAGCATTACTGCTACTGAGTGCTGATTGGTTAACATTACTGTTACTGAGTGTTGATTGGTTAGCATTACTGCTACTGAGTGTTGATCGGTTAGCATTATTGCTACTGAGTGTTGATTGGTTAGCATTACTGCTACTGAGAGCTGATTGGTTAGCATTACCGCTACTGAGAGCTGATTGGTTAGCATTACTGCTACTGAGTGCTGATTGGTTAGCATTACTGCTACTGAGTGTTGATTGGTTAGCATTACTGCTACTGAGAGCTGATTGGTTAGCATTACTGCTACTGAGTGTTGATTGGTTAGCATTACTGCTACTGAGAGCTGATTGGTTAGCATTACTGCTACTGAGTGCTGATTGGTTAGTATTACTGCTACTGATTGATTTATATTACCGCTACTGAGTGCTGACTGATTAGCATTACCGCTACTGAGTGCTGATTGGTTAGCATTACTGCTACTGAGTGCTGACTGGTTAGCATTACTGCTACTGAGTGCTGATTGTTTAGCATTACTGCTACTGAGTGCTGATTGGTTGGCATTACTGCTACTGAGTGCTGATTGGTTGGCGAGCGGAGCAGCTCATTGGCTGTTCATGCTCACTGATGTCATGAACATATATGAGGTGCCATTTCAAACTCCTATAACTCGAGTTTAAAAGCTCTTAAAAATATAACAGCAGTGTTAAAGTGTTTTATGCTGCTCTGTGTTCAGGAAATTAATGTATTCGTTTATATTAAAAATGTTTAAGCATTTATAAACTATGATTTTGCTGAAATGCTCCATCTTAACCCCTTCATTTTGGACTCGCTCGGGAGCGCCCTCTAGTGTTTAAGAAACCCTCCTCTATACAAGTTCTCTGGTAGTGTGCTGCGTCACCTCATGGTGCTCAAAAGAGTGACTCAAAAGCGCTCAGTGACTCAAAATAACTCAGTGACTCAAAATAACACAGTGACTCAAAAGAGCTCAGTGACTCAAAAGAGCTCAGTGAATTAAACCACCGGCTTCTAACATTAATATATTAACTGCTCCACATTGGAAGCTGTTTGTTTAGGTTTGTGAAATCCAGATGTTTGATGCTTAAGGGCCTCGTTAACACAGTCATTAGTAATAAGAGCCTAAATTATGAGGAAACTTCATGGCGTGTCTGATGCACTTTTTTTTGTTCCCCCATCCCACCCAATCTGGATTTCTGGATAATAATAATAATAATAATAATAATAATAATAACTTTATAGAGCACTTTTCATCCTGCTGGCAACTTAAACTACTTTACAGATACACTATTAATCTATAAACAAGGTACAAAAGTACATTAGCGTGTAGCTGTAGCCATCTAACAGCCTGGATTTCATCTGTACTTTTGGGCTGCTATTATTTTTAGCTATGCTACTGGACTTCAGTCTATGTTTATAGATAACAGTGAGGCAGAATCAGAGATAATGAACATTCGCTTTGAGGCGAGTTAACTACATCAACCTCATAGCTCCAGTGTTAAGACTAAAGAAGCAAACTTCAGACACCAAACATGCATGGCTGAGTCACTGAGGTGTGGCTGAGAGGGTGGAAGGGTAAATTTAATGGTAGTGTGTTTGGGAAATGTTTTTCCTGTTAGTTTTAAGGTGGTTGTTCTTCAGCATTTATTCACTGGGTTTTCCTACATAGAGTTATGCTGTAAGCCGGCGCTTAAGTCCACTGGCTCATGTGTTTAGACCCAGGGGGCAGAGAGCTGAGCACTGAGAGAGGAGATGTACGTTTGGGTTAGAGTTGAGTGTTAGAGAAAAGCTCTCTGTGTCTGCGTCCTGCTGGTCAGTAGGTATACCTGTGGATACTGTCGTGAGCCGCTTGCACACTGACATCTATCTGCAGGACGGTTTTGTAGTCCACGTAGGCCTTCCTGTAGCGCTCCAGGGACTCGTAGGCCATGGCTCTGCGGAGGAGGGGCTTCAGGGAGAAGGGACGGAGCTCCAGGGCTCTGCATGTTAATAGGATGAGAGAAAGAGGGATCAGAATTAATCTGTGAGCGCATGACCAATACAGACCAGCCCTGCAGTGACCTCACAGACCCGCACGGATTAGCGAGTGATGTCCATTCATAAACCTTCCCTTAAAACACTGCTAAAAAAAGACAGTGACATTTGGCTGGACGAGCACAGCGTGTGCTGAGCCTGGATCTTTGTATAAAAAGTGCACATATATATATATATATATATGTATGTGTGTGTGTATGTGTGTTTTGTTTATTTTCTAAGTGTAAATAAGTTAACACATCATCTACAGAGCACACACCTTAAATATGGCACAATTTGTATTTTTTTGTTAAGTTGCCACATTTCTTTTGCTGCCAATATGTTAACGATACTTACATTAATTACAATTAATTAGAAGAATATATATATATACTGATCAGGTATATATATATATAGATCCTTGTTTCTATGATCATTGTCCATTTTATCAGCTCCACAAAAATATCCAGCCAACAGCGTCCTGTGACCACTGATGAAGGACTAGAGGATGACCAAAACAAACTGTGCAGCTGCAGATGAGCTATCGTCTCTGACTTTACACCTACAAGGCGGACTGACAAGGTAGGAGTGTCTAATAGAGTGGACAGTGAGTGGACACAGTGGTGTTTAAAAACTCCAGCAGCACTGCTGTGTCTGATCCACTCGTACCAGCACAACACACACTAACACACCACCATCACGTCAGTGTTACTGCAGTGCTGAGAATGACCCACCACCCAAATAGTACCTGCTCTGTGAGGGTCCGTGGGGTCCTGACCACTGAAGAACAGGGTAAAAGGGGGCTAACAAAGTATCAGAGAAACAGATGGACTACAGTCTGTAACTGTAGAACTACAAAGTGCACCTATATAGTAAGTGGAGCTGATAAAATGGACAATGAGTGCAGAAACAAGGAGGTGGTCAGAATGTTATATATATATATATAAAATTTAAACTTTACATGACAGTTAATGTACCATCAACAGTTTCTGGAAGTAATTTCAACAACAAGATTAAATATAATAATAACAATAATAACAAATCCTGCAGTATTAACCTTCAAATTCTGTATTAATGCAGCATCGTCTGCTGTTAGTAGAATAATATTTGGTTGTTATGCTGTTTGGCAACCATAGACTTTTGTTAACAAACTACATTGCTTTGTTATTATTATTATTATTATTATTATTAGATTTTGTTATGACTATTACTAATAATAAATGCTATTATTTATTACACATTGTTCTGGTTTATGGCATTTCACTACTGTTTTAAAAAGCAATAATCCCTTCGAGGCCACGTGTTACAGTGGTTTTACTCTGCTTTGTGGGCTCATATACTGCAATTCTCTTGTGTTTTGTTTTTGTCACCTGGGCTCAATGATGACATTTGTGTGGTTTTATGTACCAAAAACATTAATAACCAATTTTTCCATGATCATTTTCTAACTTTTTTTTATCACTTACAATTAAACAAGCTGTTACTGTGTCTTTAAGACTGAGATACGTAAATGAGCTCTGTTCTGATTGGCTGTGCCTCAAATATAACTTCAGTAGTGGGTGGGGCTAAACTGCTGTAAGATGTATATGCATATATATGTAAATGTGTTTCACAAGAACACTGAATTCAAAACAGGCTGTTTTTACAGCTTAGTTTCCATAAACGGACTGTATGGACTGAGGAGCGAATGGTATGTTTAGAGATGGGTCATTCTACAGAAACGTCCACTTCTCTATCCATAGGAGTCACTGGTGTTACTGATCCTCATTGGTGTTACACATAATAAAGAAACACCAGAGACATTTTAATGAAAAATGCATTTTACTAAACGGCTGCTACAGAGCATCAAACCACATGTTGTCAATCATGGAATATCCACTAAAATATGGAATTTAATCCATTTGTATTCTATTTTTTCACAGTTACCTCAGAATAAAGTCGGTCACACCAGTGACTTCAGCTAAAAGCTTCATATGAAATCATGAGCTGAATGAGAAAATCTCTGATAACTGAAAGACACAGTGGACTCACCATGTGCTTTTCTTCATAGATCCTCAGAACACAGGTAAAAGGAAGTCAAGTGATGTCATCAGTGTGACTTTTATTTCAAAATAAGAGATTTTTTGTTACGCGGTAACACCAGTGACACGACTCCTGGAAACAACAACTTTCATTATATATTTTATAATATTTATTTGTCATTTGTTTTCTTTTTTTATGTAATTTAATTCATATATTTCATAGTCATGTATAGATTATTACAGTTAAAATGGCAGAAAAACATGTTTTTTACTTCAAAATGTGGCCTCAGCCTTCACACATGACCGTGAGGACGAGCTCTTCTGTGGTGTTTGGAATTCTATATGATTGATTTAAAAACCAATATTGCTAAATTGAGGCTCAAGAAGGTGTAATTGTTAAAATGACATTGTTTTATTTTAAAATGTAAATAAATTGTAACCCTAACCTGTTTTTCAAGTGTAATATATCTGTAAACACTAGGGACACAAAAATGGACGTTTCTGTAGAATGACCCAAATGCATTTACATTTCAAATCAAACTCTTATTTCAGAAAAGCGAGGAGAGCCCAGTTTTCCGTGTTGACGGCCCTTTAAACAGCAGTAACGTCGCTGTATCCTACAGTGGTTTATTGCTGTAGTGTAGAAGCTCTTAAGGAGAGTCTACAATCTGGAGGTGAAGCTCTTTTTAGCTCAGCTAATAGCGCTGCGTGCTAATCTCTCACACACCATCACAGGCCTCCTGCAGCAACGTTATTACTCAGACCGAGCTGAGGACTGCTGGACTGAGGGAGGGTTTGTTTTCCCATACAGCATTTTTAGCTTTTCATTTCAAGTTTGTTGATTTCAGAAATTTCAAAGTGAAAATGTTATTAAAACTAATAAAAGAGAAATTTAAAAAATAAAAAGTCTAATTCTAAAGATAAAATGCAAAATGTACTCGTAGGAAAGTGTTTTCAGTGTGTAAGGTTTTAGTTCTTGCTAATAAGAATTTAGGACTTTTGCCAGTTTGGACTGATTTTTTTCTAATCAAGTGAATTGAAATTAAATTTTTACAACCAGTACTGATTCAATATTCACAAGTAAAAATGTTCAAATCCTAATTATTATATATTTATATATGTTTAATTTCATCTCTTATTAGCAAAGTGTTTAGCATAATGCTTTGCATAAGAAATAAAAACCACATAAGAAATACACTTAGAATTTTCATTAATTCAAACATGTCATATTTAAATTCTTATTATTACATCTTTGAATTAATGTCTTCCTAGTAAAATTGAATTGTGGTCCGAATGTAATTTTTACATATAAAACTAAAAATTTAAACTTTTAGAAATTTTATATGTAACAATAAAATTTTAACTAGTTATCAACATATTTAAACACAATAATTAGAATTTCAACACGTTTAAATTTGACTTAAAAATTGTGGATTTAAAGCCAAAAAAAGGCACACACAATATACATCACGATACTTTACATTCACTTTTCAGGTTTCTAACCTGGTGCAATCCTGAATGCAGTCTGAACTATTTCCGTCTTTGAGATAACAAGCTGCTCTGTTGGAGTACAAAATGCAAATATCCTCAGGACTGTCGACACCTGTCAGAAAAACACAAACAAAAGCACTCAAATGAACCCACACTCATAACAACACATACATGTATTTTAAATGTGACATATCAAACACACATTAAAATACATTATATACAATATTTTTGGACATTTTTCATACTTTGCAAGATGTATTTGATAAATACATTTTGGGAAATCTCCAGTGATGAACCATTACTGTTTATAATGACCTGCTAGGTCTCTGATAAAGCTGCTAGCACCCCTATGGGATTCTAGTAGCATGTTAACACTAAGCTAACAGCTACTCACAAAAACATTTTTTGGCTGTACTAGATTTAACACACACAAAGCTTGTAAAAGACATTGAACATGTTTTATTTGAAGTTTGTAACAGACATTATTATATATCTGAGTTTGTATGTATCAGTTTTACAGTGACTCTTTCAGTAGAGTTCTGACACAAAGCTGCCGCCGCTGTTTTACATTCCTAACAACTAACTGACTTGATATAAGGTGAGTTATTCGACAAGGTCCATTATCACCTCTGCTATTTGTGTCAACATATCAGATCCTAATTATGATGGTTAACCGAAGTCAATTTCATGGAATAAAACTTAAGAAAGTTAGACTATGGCTCGTATTCACAACCCGTGACGTATCTAGAACTTCCAGAAGGCCTTTTTTTTCTCACAAAACCGATCCCACCCACTGTAAATTAGAAACATAGTTGATTCCTCTGTCAGCTCAAACACTGTCAGGGGACTTTTAGTCTACCAAAGCAAAATCAACGTAAATTTACTCTCAAAGATACAATAAGTCTTTAAGGCTGTACTGTGTGCTTTAAGTATATGCTTTTTTGTTGTGCTGGTTCGAGTGGATCAGACACAGCAGTGCTGCTGGAGTTTTTAAACACCTCAGTGTCACTGCTGGACTGAGAATAGTCCAGCAACCAAAAATATCCAGCCAACAGCGTCCTGTGACCGTTGATGAAGGACTAGAGGATGACCAACACAAACTGTGCAGCAGCAGATGAGCTATCGTCTCTGACTTTACATCTACAAGGTGGACCGACAAGGTAGGAGTGTCTGATAGAGTGGACAGTGAGTGGACACAGTGTTTAAAAACTCCAGCAGCACTGCTGTGTCTGATCCACTCACACCAGCACAACACACACTAACACACCACCATCACGTCAGTGTTACTGCAGTGCTGAGAATGACCCACCACCCAAATAGTACCTGCTCTGTGAGGGTCCATGGGGGTCCTGACCACTGAAGAACAGGGTAAAAGGGGGCTAACAAAGTATCAGAGAAACAGATGGACTACAGTCTGTAACTGTAGAACTACAAAGTGCACCTATATAGTAAGTGGAGCTGATAAAATGGACAATGAGCGTAGAAACAAGGAGGTGGTCATCATGTTATGGCTGATCGGTGTATATTAAAATACACGTGCATGTATATCTGTTCCACATGGGCGTTCTCGGGCCACAGAACCGTTCCTTTGGGATGACGTAGCTATTCGCTGATTGGTTCTGTGTTTATGTCAGCATTGAGTCACTTCATCTTACAGTATTTCTCCCCCGAAAGCAATCAAATAACTTTCATTCGCTCACACGGCCACCAAATTAATGAAAGTTTTCTATCCACCAATCAATCAATGTCAAGCTATCGCTAAATGTTAAACAGAGCTGGTAAGCATTAACTTGATTCTGACTAACAGAAGCTACACTGACTCAAAGTTGGACCATTATGACTCAAGTCTGAGGAGGCGAAGTCGAGCGGCTGATGTTAGAGGGACAGAAAGCTGCAGTCAAATCTTGTCTGTGGTGTTTGGATCTGTAGCCTTCTAGCTAGGCTAATACTAACTGGCTCTTGTAGCCTAGCTTATCTAGAGGCCTGCAGATCCAAACAATACTGTACAGGTTTGATTCCAACCAACTTGTGCTTTACTGCTACAAGTGTAGACGATAAAAATCGAATGACTGGAGTTGACAGAAAACTGAAATCCAACCTGTTCTGCTGGGCTAAGCAAATGCACACCACAGTCCAGGCTCAGTTCCAGGTAACTGATGTTCAAATCATAGCTGTGTCCCAATTCAGGGGCTGCGTCCTTCTGAGGCTGCATTTAAAGGCTGTCTGTGTCACAGCGGTACGACTAGGCTGTCCCATTTCGAGGACTCCTTTATATGTGGCCAAGAAACGTGTCCTTCTTTTCCATGGCAATGAAGGATCCGATGGATGGATCCTTCACCAGTCAACATATTTTGAGGTTCACTGTGCGCCGGCAAGGAATTGAGAACATGGCGGCGTCAGCAGAGGAGCGAACGGCGACTGAGGAGACACTTTAAATGTAAGTATTGGGTTTAAACTGAGTCGAATAGCGAACAATACCAATGATAAAAAAGCCAATGTGGTCTGAAGCAAAACGTACACTAACATTTCGTTTAGTTTTAGGGAGCAAAGAACGGACAGAGAGGAGCATCTTCAGCTCTAATAAACGAAAAACTATAAAACTAAAATCAAACTTTCTTGCTCCGTCTTTAAAGAGCAGCGTTTCATGACGCGATGATAAGTGGTGCTGTGGCACAAACAGGAAATCCACTGTAGAGCGGACCATCTCATTTCGGTTCAGCCTCAGCTCTATGCAGCCTTAGAAGGACGCAGCCCCCAAATTGGGACACAGCCAATGTCTGTTTAGAGTCAGTGACTTGCATTGACGCTACAGCCAGAATTAAACGTGTTCTGTGGTGTAGCTTTTAGCCTGTTAGCCGTCACCGAGCCACTGTTGTGTGTAGTTTTTCTTCAGTTCTGATTTACATGTAAAAAAAAACTTAGCCGGCCTCACGAACCCTCACTAGCATAGAACAGCACAGTATGAGAACCATTTGGCTCTACAGTTACTTCATGTCTCTTAAAGACATCTATATTTACAGCTTTTTTGAGAGTGTAATTATGTTTGAGGTTAATCTGACACGTTAGGCCTTCAGTCCAGCTCCTGAAGTCCTGACCAATGGGAGAGCTCACTTGGCTGTATCTACCTAGATACCACAGAGAAAACAGTCCTGATTGGATAATTTTCTGTTTTAAGAATTTAACCCCTTTGTTTACAACCAAGTTTTTTATTAAAATTAAATGAACTTAAAATTACAGACATTTATTATTATTATTATTATTATTATTATTATTATTTATTTTTATTTATTTGACTGAAATCTTTAATCCTTCTCTGAAACCCTAGAAGGCGCTGAAGGTTCCCCATGGGAAATCTCGCTGAGGAAGCTGCTTTAAGTCTCTATGGTGAGAGGAAACAGGAAGTACACAAACACCCAGCTGAAATGGAGTTTCAACAACACTGGAACATGAAGAAGGACATGTCCCAACCCAAACCACTGCCGCTAATCATTTCCAAACACACCCTCACCTCAGAGAGGGAGCTTTAAAGGCCTCATCTGCTCCAGCGGTTTCATTTCTCCTAAACACATTTACCACATAATTCACTCCTGTCGACACGAGACTTCAGAAACCTTCACAATGAGCAGCTGCGCCCAAACACGGGCTCTAAAAACAGGCATCAGAACCTGGGTCTGCTACTGCTTCTCCTCCATGACTCAGTGCATAACCTCTTACGTACACTGTGTAAACCGCTTGTGCAACACTGTTGGGCCTTTGTACTTCCAGCTGGCTTTAAAGACGCTCTGAATATGTCTTTGAAGCGGAAAATATCTCTGATTATGAAGAATAAACAAATAAACAAAGACCTAAACTCTAATTTGGACATGAAAGGTGCCCTTTACTGAGAGATTTCATGTTTAAAACAGTCTGCCATGGTTATATGCTGTGAATACGCCACAAAATACATCGAATATTGCACAATATTATCAATGTTACATTTTATGTGTACATTTTACATTTAAAACAGTGTTCATGACTTACATTATCTTAAAAGCAGCACTACTGTCAGTATATTTTGTGTATTGTGTTGTTTGGACAGGTGTTTACATTTAAAACACGCTATTTACTACTTTCCATCTCTAAAGCAACATTAGTCAAGATATTTTCAATGTATTTCTCATCTTATAACATTTCCAACATATTGATTTTACTACTTTTCTATTTGTGTGGATGTTCACATGTAAAATACATCACTTATTACTTTCTTCTTTCCTCTAAAGCAACATTACAGCTTTATAAGATATATTTGACATAGTTCTATTATTTCAACATATCTAACATATTTATTTTATTTATTTTCTGTTTGTATACGTATTGACACTTAAAACATATTATAGACTACTTTCCGTTTCTAAATCAGCAATTCATAGTCAATATATATCCAATATATGTCTTGTATCTCATTATGTCCACTATATTTACTTACTATTTGTGTGGGTTTTGACACTTTTAACACATTGTTGACTACTTTTCTTTTCTAAATCAACATTATATGGTATATTAACAGTATATATTTAACATAAGCCTGATTTGTAGTGCTATTCACTGTGAAAACACACCGCTTCCCTTTTCTAAAGCAGTGTTACAGCCAGTGGAACAGAATTTAAGGCTGTTACTTCACCTTCTCTTTCGCACCCCTCTATGGCCTGGGTGTATTTGTCCAGCGCGTCTCCGAACTGCCCGTTTTTGAACAGCATGTTGCCCTCATTCTTTAGCCGGGCGAGTGGAGGGGGCAGGGCTCCAGCTGGAGCGTCCAGGTTACAGTTTTCTGCCCCCGTCCCGCTCACGGTAGGGCTAATGCTCTGGCTTTCCTCCCCCACCCGCCGCTCCACAGGGTGAGTGCCATTAACCTCAGGCTTTTTCCCAGGGGGCTCCTGTGACCTGGCGCTCCTGTTGGCCCCGGGGGTCCCGGGTCGTGAATGGTGTGACCCTCCTTCTTCTCCTTTACCTGGAGCTTTCTTCTGAGCGTTGCCCATGGCCGGCTTTTTCTCTTTCGGAGCCTAGTCAGCACTCTTCTGCTCTCACTCTGCTGTTCATGCTGCCGCTCGTCCTCTCTGCACTGTGTGTGTGAGTGTGTGTGTGTGTGTGTGCGGGCTCAGCAGGCCGTGACGTAGAAGGAGGAGGAGGAAGGGGAGGGGGAGGGGGAGGAGGAGGAGGAGGAGGAGGAACTGCAGTAATGCGGTGTGTCGCAGAGCCAGGAAACCGCTTTATCTCTCTCACTGCAAACCAGCATTCAGGGAAACCCCAGAAAGGCTTAAAGGGACAGTTCACCAAAAATCAAATTTTACGTTTCTCACCCTTACTTCAATTGCGATCCGTCAGCTGAGACTTATCTGGTTTCAGAAGTTTGCTTCTTTAGTTTTAGCACTTCAGCCATGAAGCTAATGTAGCTAACTAGTAGTGAAAGCTTATGTACACTAATTAACATGGTGCTGCTAATTGCATACCTAAATGATTATATTGTCCTTCAAATGTGTCCAGAAACGTCACAGCCAAGTTGATTTAACTGCCCCATTCCTACACAAATCCATCCTGTTATTTTAGTGTTATTTTTCCACATCTGCCCCTGGAAGTATTTTCATTCACGTTGTAAACACTATATTTTGTTTGCTTAGTTCATAACCAGCAAAACGGTGGTCATAAATTCTTTTACTTAATTGTAGCACTGGAGCTTCGAGACTAATGAAGCTAACAAGGAACAGAAGCATATGTTTATCTTAATTAGCATGGTGCTAACTGTATGCCTGAATCATCATAAACTTGCCTCGAAGCACGTGGAGATGTTCACTAATCTCTGATAGACCTGTTTATGTGGTTTCTGACCCTGTTTGACTCACTGTTATCTATAAACATGGACTAAAGGACATTAGCATAGCTATAACCCAGTAGCGCCACCTGGCAGACTGAATTTTGTCCGTGGTCTTCTCCATTTTTGAATATAGCATATAATTAGGTAAAATGACAAATAAATAAGCAAAAAGAAACAAAAGTAAGCTAAATGTCACTAAGTTACTTTCTCTGGCGTAATCTTGAAGCCTTGTAGTGTCTGATGAATTAGCTCAATGCTAATTTAGGTATTCTGGACTTTCAGATGACCGTTGTTGTTTTTAGCTTTGTTAATGAACTTTAGTCCATGTTTATAGGTAACAGTGAGTCTTACAGGGTCAGAAACCACAGAATCAGGTCTATTAGAGACACTGAACACCTCCACACAGTCTGAGAACAGCGTGTGATGATTCAGACATGCAGTTAGCACCACTGTAAAAAGCTTCCATTACTTGTTAGCCACATTAGCCTCGTAGCCCCAGTGCTAATGCTGACTTTAAGTGGTGTCGGAAACTGGAAAAACACATTTTCCCACTAGTATAAGTAAAATGACACAAATAAATAAGTAAAAAGAAACAATTTTTACTTTTTACAATTGCTAATTTAGGTATTCTGGACTTTCAGATGACCGCTGTTGTTTTTAGCTTTGTTAATTAACTTTAGTCCATGTTTATAGGTAACAGTGAGTCTTACAGGGTCAGAAACCACAGAATCAAAACTATTAGACACACTGAACACCTCCACACAGCCTGAGAACAGCGTGTGATGATTCAGACATGCAGTTAGCACCACTGTAAAAAGCTTCCATTACTTGTTAGCTACATTAGCCTCATAGCCCCAGTGCTAATGCTGCCTTTAAGTGGTCAGGACTTGGAAAAAGCTAATTTTCCCACTGTAAACTGTACTCAAACAGCCAACAAAGCCTTATTTACACGGGATTTGATGATACATGACTTTACAGGGCATATAATGCAGCCTTTCATCTTTTCCACAAGTGAGGAAGGCTAAAGCTGACAGTGAATGTGAAATAATACACCTGATGTGCTTTTATGAGATCTGTGTGCTTTTTAATACAGCAAAGAAAAAGCAGGGTAAGTGTTCTCCACGCTGTCTTTTTCTGTGTGGTGGCCAAATCTTTCACCAAACAATAAAGAGTGTGAAGTGGCATTTGCTAGTTAACCATCTGGTCCCAGACAGAGAGCATATATCGGTTCGCTGGCTCAATAAGGCCGGCACCCCACTGACCGTTTGCCACTGCTGGTCCCCCCCTCGGACCACCCAGATTACTGTCCTGCATACAAGGTCCACATAGTTTTTAATCTCCTCAAACAGATTTTAAATGCACAGAGACTTTTATGTTAGACAATAAACTGAGAAAAATATTACAAACAACTGAGAGAGAAAAAATTAACTTGCCCTGATATAAAATGATTTTGGGTCATTCTACAGAAACGTCCGCTTTTCTATCTGTCCATAGGAGTCACTGGTGTTACTGATCCTTATTGGTGTTCCACATAATAAAGGAAACACCAGAGACATTTTTAATGAACAATGCATTTTACTAAACGGCTGCTACAGAGCAACAAACCACATGTTGTCAATCATGGAATATCCACTAAAATATGGAATTTAATCCATTTGTATTCTGTTTTTTCAGTTACCTCAGAATAAAGTCGGTCACACCAGTGACTTCAGCTAAAAGCTTCATATGAAATCATGAGCTAAATGAGAAAATCTCTGATAACTGAAAGACACAGTGGACTCACCATATGCTTTTCTCCATAGATCCTCAGAAAACAGGTAAAAGGGAGTCGAGTGATGTCATCAGTGTGACTTTATTTCAAAATAAGAGATTTTTTGTTACGCGGTAACACCAGTGACACGACTCCTGGGGACAACAACGTTCATTATATATTTTATAATATTTATTAGGCATTTGTTTTCTTTATGTCATTTAATTCATATATTTCATAGTCATGTATAGATTATTGTAGTTAAAATAGCAGAAAAACATGTTTTTTACCTCAAAATATGGCCTCAGCCTTCACACATGACTGTGAGGACGAGCTCTTCTGTGGTGCTTGGAATTCAATATGATCGATTTAAAAACAATATTGCTGAATTGATGGATCAAGAAGGTGTGATTGTTAAAATAACATTGTTTTATTTTAAAATATAAATAAATTGTAACCCTAACATGTTTTTCAAGTTTAATATATCTGTAAACTCTAGGGACACAAAAATGGACGTTTCTGTAAAATGACCCTTCAGTAGAGAATGTTTAAACATTTATAAACTATGGTTTTGGACTTGCTCGGGAGCGCCCTCTAGCGTTTGAGAAACCCGGAAGACATTACAGAGTGGAAATTCTCCTCTCTACAAGTTCTCTGATTTAGTCAAGACTACAGACATAGAGCTCAAACTAAACACTGAGAGCTGGCGATCTTGGCGAAATGGAAAACTTCTTATCAAAGCAAATTCAGTCATTTAGTAAATATTAAGCCTTTAAAGTCGAACAACAACGTGGCTACGCTGCGTTTATTTGATATGTGAAGAACATCACCTAACAAAACCAAACGTATAGAATTTTGTTTAGTTTGTCTCATAAAGTATATTTTTCACATGAACAGAAATATGATTAATACATCAGATGTATTGTTACCCTTAAACAATTTAATTATTGATTATAAGCGCTTATTGATCCAAACTGTTCTGAATGAACAATCCAACAATAGAAGAAGCCTCATGCATCTTTTATGCAGTGATAGGAAACACAGCAGCTCACAGAAAGCTCAGTTTCTATGCGCTGATATTTTGAAAATGTAATATTTTGAATCGTTCGTGAATAATAGTTCAGCCCTCAGAAGTTTTGACACAGTATGATGATCTGGCCCTCTTTGAAAAAAGTTTGGTGTAGATGGTTCTATATAGAACCTTTGTGAAAAGGGTTCTATATAGCACCCAAAAGAATTCTTCTATTGTTGCAACGTCAAGCTTTTTACAATAGAAGAACCCTTTTGGGTGCTATACAGAACCATCTACAGCACATTCTCCATCAATCTTCACAACTCCTTTCATAATGCAAAGAACTCTTTAATTATGAAAATGGTTCTTTGAGTGTTCATGGTTCTGTATAAAACCTTTTTCTTTACTAAAGAACCGTTGAAGAACCATCTTTTTAAGAGTGTACATTTGAGACAAATTGTGTAAAACAGATTTTCCGCTGTAACTGTCACTTTAATGCTGGTGAACACAATCATAAAGGACGTCATTCTGACCACAAAGTTTGCTTGGTTATAAACTGGTTGTAAATAAGCAAATTATATGCAATTCTTACAGCGTGAATCTTCGTACATCTACCCAGATGCAAATCCACAAAGGAGCATTTGAAAAGACAGGATGGAGCTGTAGAAGAATGGAGCAGTTAAATTAATGTTGTATACTAAATAATGATTACTTAAGTATCTCCATTTGCATTAAACAAAGAAAAAATCTAACACATAAATAGTGTGACTGTGTTTTCAGCGTGTTCTGCCAGACTAGTACCTCGAGCACATGCTGTTCCTTCCTAAAGTACAGATATTAATGATGATGTGAGTTAATGGGGTGGAACAGCGAGCTTTTTTTTGTGCCACTAAAAGGACTTAATGTCTTTCGCAGCAGAGGATCACTCTGCAGATGACAAAACAGAGCAGGATTCGTTAAAATCTCTGAAAATAGAACGTCGTCGAGAGAAAAGCTTTGCTGAAAGGTGTACGTGCAGGTAAGGGTGCCCAAACTTCTTGTAAAGGGGCCAAATGGTAATGTTTGGGAGTTCTGGGGTCTTCTGCTTTAAGCTAGTAGGCCAGACCTGCTGCCAGACTGGAAGGTGGAGCTGCGGACACGGCCCTTCTCCCAGACTGTAGTTATTTCATAACTCATTTTTGTGGCAAATGGAGGCCCAGAAATACAGAGCGGTATACTTAAAGGGCCCATATCTTGGAAAACCAAATGTTCATCACTTTTTGGACACAGAATTTAACATAGCATACATTATTAAACATACTGTTCACTCTCCAGTCCATTTCTGAAAGCTAAGCGGTGAAATAAAACAGCCCGTTTTGAAGTCAATGTTTTTGTGACGTCACAGAAAACAGTTTACATAAATCGACCTATTCAGCCTACAGCCTGTTCAGACTGCAGTTATAAAGGGTAGAATGTTTCTACTCTGACTGCTTTTTGACAAGCAGAACTGAAGCTTATTTACACATATCTGTCTTAAAGGCACAGTAACATAAAGAGCCTGTTTACTTATAAGGGTAAAGTGAGGTTGCAAAATGGTCATGTAAAATGAATTATGATATTTTTGGTACATGAAACCACACAAACATTATAAGTAGGTCTCGAGGAAAAAGATAATAACACCAGAAAACCACAGGCTATAGGCCCTTTAAGCAAGAGAACATGGGGAGTGTGTTATGGTGAATAACATAACTGTGATTGGGTCACAGGTACGAACTGAAGGTGAGCACAGCAGATCACAGTCGTGATGTTATTCACCATTACAGCGTTCTGCTGCCTTTGTACAGCAGTTCTGCACAATAAAGAACTGCATAAAGACGCCCTGAACATTGTATCATATGTGCTTTGATATCTGTAGTTCCTTCCGCAACAAAAAGTAGTTCCCTTTTGAGTTACAGAGCCGTAAAACTGTTTAAATATCAGGTTGAGCTCAGCTTTTCCAGATGAAGCTGAATGTGATTTTTACATCCCATGCGTCAAACGCAAGGCCCGCCGGCCAAGTCGGGCCTGTGGCACCATCCTATTCGGAATTATTTTCATTTTCTATTAATATTAGCCCAGTTCACCATGTGCTGCACTACAGTTCCCAGCATGCACTGCAACATAACGTGTGCTCCCACCCCCTCCCCAACAACGATATATGGGACAGCACCACAAAAACAAACAAACAAAAAAAAAAGACACCAGGTGTCCAGTTCAAGCAAATGGGCAGTTTTAAAACCCTACTGTACACTGGGGACATTTAAAGAGGTTTAACAGTGATCTGCAGTTAATGTAGTCTATTGTTTATATAAACCAATTTGTTTTTATTTAAAATTATTTTTTAATCGTTCAAGCATTCAGTGCCTATTTTTTGCTGTTGTAGTTTTGGCACAACAAACTGGTCAGTTGGGGTCGCGGCAAAATGTTAAGTACAAATAAAATAACACAACTGGCTCACGGACTTCTTGTGATTTTTTAATGCGGCCCGTTTACTGGTTGAGTTTGACACCCCTGGGATAGCTTGATGACCAAAAAGCTCAGCGACAGGTTCTGGGTTTGGTGTAGTCCTGCGGTCACTCTTCCTTCCGAGTCTGACCCGGTCAAATATTACCTCGTAGAAGTTCTCTAACGCGTCCATTTTCTGTTTTTGTATGTGCTAAAGTAGAACACTTACAGTAACGGTTAAAAGCCAGTCATCAGTTAGCAACCTCAGCAGAGTGACAGGCATTGTGAAAAAAAACCTGCTTTTGATTCTCAACCAATCAGATTGGGCCAAAAGAACTTACTGTTGTATAAAAGTAAAACAAGATAAAACAAGATTGGCTGCAATTCTTTAGTCTCACATTTACATAAGTCACCATGGAGACACGTTTGCCTTTATAAGGTCAACAAACATTTCATTACTTCAAAGTTCCCAAAGCAAACAAATGTTTACTTTAAACTCAACAGCGGTTTCCTTCCTTGTGAGGCAGGCTGCCTCGCCTTCAAGCCTTACAGTCAGTGAAAAGATTTTCAGTTCATTACTAGTAGCCATGGTCAAACGCAAAAGTTTGAACACCCCTGGTCAAATGACATGTTTTGTTTTTGACCAGAGGTGCTAAAACTTACACATACAAATACAAATAAGGGAGATTTTTTGATAACATGAAAGATTTTTCAAAGAGAGGCGCGCACACACACACACACACACACACACACACACACAGTGAGACTCTGTTTATACCATAAAAGCATTAAACATGTTAAGATTAATTAATTAATTGATTCATTTTAACATTTTTAATACTGATACTTTAATTGGGGCAGTCGTGGGCTGAAGGTTAGGGAACCAGCCTTGTGACGGGAAGATACCTAACCCCCAACTGCTCCCTGGGTGCTGTGGATAGGGCTGCCCACTGCCCTGGGCAAGTGTACTTACTCACTGCCCCCTAGTGTGTATGTGGTGTTTCACTGCACGGATGGGTTAAATGCAGAGGTGAAATGTCCCCACTGTGGGACCAGTAAGGGTCACTTAATCTAAAGTATTAAAGGAGAAGAACACGCAGCAGACACTAAACTGAAACCACAGAAATTGAAAATACTGTAGTAAATAAAGCTCAAAAGGTCCAGGTCTGATTGTGGCCTTGGCCTGTAATTGTTTCATAAATACGTTACCTCTAGTTTTGGAAACAATGGAAGAATTTTTGCTAAGAAAAAATGATGACTTTAATAGTGGTGTGAATGATGAGGTGAAAGACTAGAGAAACCATCTAAGGTTTGGAAATAAAGGTGCTCCAGATGACCGTGACCTTTGGAGATAATGGTGTACAAATCAGAAGGTTTTAAATATCTGGGAGAAGCACGGAGAAGCTATAAACAGCATTTCAGCTCTGGGTGTTTTTGAATGAGGCACAGCCAATCAGAATGGAGCTCATTTACATATATCAGTTTTAAAGGCACAGTAAGAAAAAAAAAGTTCAACTCCAAAGGATAAAGAGAGGCTGGAAAATGGTCATGTAAAATTTATTACGGCTGGTTTTGGTATATAGAAGTGCACAGACGTTATAGGTGGATCTCAAAAATGCAGGATACAGGCCCTTTAAAGTAGGGGACTGTGGTTAAAATTCAATAAGGTGCAGTTAGAGAAAATATCCTCAAGCGAAGGTCTGGAACATCATAATGTCTAAGTTGCATTATGATTCAGTGCCATATACTGTTTACTGAAGTAGCCTAGTAGGTATATCAGCATCTTATACAGTCAACAACTGAATATCAAATCAAATAAAATACAATTCAGTCATATTTCAACAACATTTATTATCAGTTTTCTCTTTTTAGAGCACGACATGTGAAATAACTTCCCTCTGACTCACTTTCTTCTCCAACTGCCGTTCCCCGCCTCGTCCCCCCTGTGTGTGCGTCACTCACTCGAGTCTCAGTGCTCATTGTAACGCACAGATCTGATTGGCTGAGTAGCGTCGTTTTTTTTTGTTTTTGTTTTTTTTTTACAACGCATGCGATTGGTCTGTGAGTCTCTTGGGCCACTAAAGCGGAACTGTAAAGGCTAGAAAAGTTACGCTGGTTAAAACAGGACCACCCCATCGAAATTCAATAATTCTCTATTGTTTACCGGTTATAGGTCCAGGTCCCCATAGGACAGCGTCTGGGTCTGGACTCGGACCGCGGTCCATCTACTAGTGACCTCTGTTTTAAAGGATGATTTATCTCCTCAGCCTTGCCTCCTCATTCAGCTATTCCTTCATCAAACAATCGATTAAAACGAGCAAATGTCACTAAATGCCTAAAAATGCATGTAAAATGTTTTCGCTAAGCTAGCGACAGTTTTGTGCTTCACAATAAAGAAAAAAAGTTCAGGACGAATCCGTGAAGAGAGGAATCTGACTCAGCATTTTTAAAGAAAACTGTATTTCTGATCATTCAACCTGTGTACACTTATTTACAGTTCCATCTGAAATGGAGCAAAAAGAAAATAAAGAAGGAAACAAAAGCACATTAATCTAACGACAGTCTGGGCTTGGAAGGGAAATCCATCCTGCAGCTCATCGGGCGTCGAACACGACCACTGAAAGTCTGAGTTAAAGAAAACCAACGATTCCAACCATTTAACCAAACCAGGAGAACCAAATACTGATAATTTCTCCACTATCAGCATCAATTACTCTACACGCTTAAAAAAGACTGTTCCTCAGGGGTTCTTTAGTAGAGAAAATGGTTCTATATAGAACCATGAAAACTCAAAGATCCTTTTGCATGATTAAAGGGTTCATTGAAGGGTGAAATGGTTCTTCAGAGTGATGGAGAATGTGCATGAATGTGCTGTAGATGGTTCTATATAGAACCTTTTTGAAAATGGTTCTATATAGAAGAAGCCTTTTGGGTGCTATACATAACCCTTTTCAAAAAGGTCCTATATAGAACCATGAACACTCAAAGAACCCTCTGCATGGCTAAAGTGTTCTTTGCATTGTGAAATGGTTCTTCAGATTGATGGAGAATGTGCTGTAGATGGTTCTGTAAAAAACTTTTTTAAATGGTTCTATATAGCACCAAAGAGGATTCTTCTATTTTTATGGTGTCCAACTTGTGACAACACTTTTGGGTGCTATTTAGAGCACTTTTCAAAAAAGGTTCTATATAGAACCATGAACACTCAAAGAACCCTTCTGCATGACTAAAGTGTTCGTTGCATGGTGATAGGGTTCTTCAGACTGATAGATAATGTGTGTAAATGGTTCTATATAGCAGCAAAAAGGGTTCTGCTATTGTTACGATGTCAACCTTGCAACAATAGAAGAACCCTATACAGAGCACTTTTCAAAAAGGTTATATATAGAACCATCTACAGCACATTCGCCATCAATCTGAAGAACCATTTCACCATGCAGAGAACCATTAAAGCATGAAATGTTTCTTTGAGTGTTCAAGGTTCTAAATAGAACCATTTTCTTTACTAAAGAACCCTTGAAGAACCATCTTTTTAAGGAGTGTAGTCTTAGAGTTCTAAACGACCCTCAGATTTATTCACTGTTTTGTGTCTAAAACTCTTACAGGGCAGAAACACTGAAGAGTCAAAGCCCAAACAGAGTCTGAGGAACGATGTAGCACTATAGCGTAACTCCTACAGTCACAGAGACGGACAAAGGAGCCTAAAGTAGTGCAGAATCAACCCTCTGGTCAGAATAACGTCACTGATATCCATCTGTGGTGAAAATGGAGCACCAATAAACAGCTTTTATTCAGTAGTAATGATCTTAAGTGTAAATTAGAGCACAAACAACATACTGATAGTGCAACACAGACAGCTGTGCTGTGGAATAAAACATGAGGACCACCTGCTTAACTGTATCACAGCAATACAGACCAAACTCCTCTGGAGCATTCCAGGGAATTATGGGAATGAGAGCTAAATTAGGTGCTTTAAAATCCAGATTAAAACCAGTCTGTTCAGGTTATCTTAGGCCAACAATGCTGTGTGTCATATATTCATAATTGTGCTGTTATATTCATTTCGACTGCAGCATTTTATCTTAACATTTACACAGATTCCTGCGTAAAGCAGTCTGACATCATTAATATGAAAAGAGCTACATAAAGGTTTATGATTAGTAGTAGCAGCAGTCGTATATTTGGATGATAAGAGTGCAATTCTTCTGTTTGTTTGAGTTTAATAAATTTTATATTTGAGAACTGATATCTGTCAAGTGCAACTACTGAAGTAAGTCAAAATGGAAACATAAAAAAAAAAAAATTAAGACGATACCAGTATTTTTAGTCCCTAAAAAAGACATTTGCCACAATTTTTTTTATATTTACATGACCCGGTGTTCATGCAAACAGGAGAGAATAAATGATACTTTTTTTTTGTCCCTCTAAGAACTCAAGGCAACAAGTCTTGACCCAGATTAGGCAAGCAGTTCAGGGAAATCAGCCGTAATAACAGCTGCTTAAATGAAAATCTTGTCACATCAGTCCTTCAACACACTCCACATTTTCACATTTGCCTTACAACAGCAGCAGCAGAAAGGATACATCTCTTCGTCCTCTTCTTGTACATGATCCTGTAGCCGCACTCTCTGCATCTGATGGGGTCTCTGGCTTTAATCTCATTTTCTGTGTGACATTCTGTAAAATAGAGAAAATAAAAAATAAGAAAGTAGTGCTTAAAAATATATCAAAGTTGTCTTGCATTTTTTGGTTCATGTACCAGAACAGTGACCATTTATTTTTTACATGACCATCATCCACCCTCTTTTTATCCCTTAGAATGAAAACTGAGCTTCTGCTCCTGTTCCTCTAAGACTGGTATATGTAAATGAGCTCTGTTCTGATTGGCTGGCCTGTGTTTTGCCTAATTCACAGAGCAGTCTGAGCTGAAACACTCCTCACAACTTCAGTGTGAATGCATGTGGCTAAGCATGCTGTGGAGTGAATGGCAAATATATGTAAATGTGATTCTGTGACATCACAAAAACAGAGAATGGGCTGTTTTGCAGCTTAGTTTTTCAAATATGAGCTGTACGGACTGATGTTAATATTCTGTCATGTTATCAATGTTTACATACAACATCAAACTCTTATTTCAAGAAGTAGTATAGTTTCCATTATACCGGCCCTTTAATACCACATGCAAACTTGTTATAGGTTATGATGCAGTCACCACTGTCTGCCTAAGGACATGAGGGACTACAGACATTTCTGTGTCGGACTGAACAGAAGTATGTTTGACTGACCTACTTCTACAATCCCTGTAATGGGTACCGCTCCTGTGTTATTTATCCATGAGCCTCAACTTTATACCTTCTGATCTGTTTGTTTCTCAAATCTTAAAGGGCAGAAACACTGAGGAGTCAAAGCCCAAACAGAGTTTGAGGAATACTTTAGCACTATAGCGTAACTCCTACAGTCACAGAGACGGACAAAGGAGCCTAAAGTAGTGCAGACTCAACTCTCTGGTCAGAATAACATCACTGATATTCATCAATAAGTAAAAAGGGTTCCACCAGAGAACTGCTTTAGTGTCTTTTACTGGAGAACATGGGTTTGGTTTCTACACACTTAAAAAAATGCTTCTTCAAGGGTTCTTTAGTAAAAGCAATGGTTCATTTATTGAGTTCTGTACAGCAGGGGTTTTGGAGGACCCCCAGCCCGGCACATTTCTGTGTTTTCCTGCCAAAACTCACCCCCCCTTAATTCAGGACGAGCTTGTTAATCAGAAGATTAGCAGGACCAGGATTGAGAACCACTGTTACATAGAACCATTTCATACCTAAATGGTCCTCTGCATGGTGAAACGGTTCTTCAGACTGCTATATGTGCTTCTATGTAAAACCTTTTTGAAAATGGTTCTGTATAGCATCAAAAGGGGTCGTGCTACTGCTACAAGCTTCACATCACCACAACAGCAGAATCCTTATTGGTGCTATATAGAACCATATACAACACATTCTCCACCAATCTGAAGAACCATTTCACCATGCAGACAACCATTCAAGCATGAAATGCTTCTTTGAGTGTTCATGGTTCTATACAGAATCTTTACTAAAGAACCCTCGTAGAACCATCTTTTTAAAGTGAGTACATTCACCCTCAAACACAGTCACCTCCACAGATGTAGATCATGGGCTGCTGTTTCGGGGGCTGCAGATCTTTTTGAGAATCCATCTGTGGGAAACACACACACACACACACACACACACACACACACACACACACACACACACAAAAAGCACCAATAGTAAATGTAGCAACACAAAATCTGAACAGAATAAACTTGGTATTTTATAATATCTGTAAAATCTACACAAGTTGGCCTCCCATCCGTCAGCTTCTTGTTCGAATTGTCCCGGTCCACCTTAAATGGCGCAGCAGTTACACTCTGGCGCAATGTAACTCCTGCACCATTTAAGGTGGACCGGGACAATTAGAACAAGAAGCTGGTTAGCTACTCAGCACGTTAGCAGTACGGGTTCGCTAAATCACTAAACAAACGCAGAGAATCTGCATATTTGTTTGAATGTAACGTACAATAATTTAATAACCATTCAACACGTTAATTTTATCCAATCTCAATAAAATAACAAGAAATAAACAGCAGCACGCCATCTTACCGCCAACACGCGCGAGCCCTGCGTTACTCAACACTCTGCGCATGCGCCGTATTGCGTTTGCGAGGCGACCACTTTTCCGTTCCGTGATTGGTCGACTCAGACTGAAGAAACCGTAATCATGGGGACTTTTATCTGAATTTAAAGCTAATTTCCGTATCAAAATCGTATATATTTTAAATGAATAAAAATGTATTATTTTATTATATTTTATGAAACACATTTTAGACTCATAATGCGGACAAAAAGTACTGTATTTTTATTTTTTATACAAATTTGTACTGCGTCATAGCTGTGGATTTGGCTATTTGTATGGCAAAATGAATCGTCTGCGCTATGTAGAATTAAGTTATTACACACATTAAATGAAAAGTGAAAAAAAATAACATATTATTTTATTCATTTTATCAAAAGTAATCACATATGGCCAGCGAATAAAACGGTTTGCGTGTATAAAATTGACGTTTTACTCGGCCTTTTATACCATTTTATACCATTTCTGAACTTTTTTCTCAGGTGTTTTTGAGAGAAAAGACGTTTTGCTGCTTGAAAAATAATATTCGTATTTTTAAAACCAATCAAACTAAAAAAAACATAACAAATAAATAAATAATTAAAATAACAGGAAGTACCAGTTCGCGTCATGATCTGAACCAGAGCAGACACCGCAGGTGAGTCCGCAGATATGGAAATAAAATTATTTTGGGGCGGATTTTATAAATTCGACCATATCAGCACATTATGAACTCTGTTTGTGTGTTGATTGGTGTTGAAGTGACCGCTCCGCGTGTTTAGTACGATATGAGCCGGGGCGTTTAGAAGTGTTAATGGCGGGTCGTGGTTTCAGTTTCTGTTCATTAGAACTGATTAAAAACTGCAAACAGGATCAAAACAAGGCCGAGTTAAGATCAGTTATCGTTAATCCGCACAGTGGGTTTTAGTTCACCGCCTGAAACTGCGTTGGGAAATGGCTTCTTAGTGCTTGGCAGCTCAGCCGGTTTCCACAGCCGCTTCTTCAACCACGTCTATGAACGTCTAACGATATTCAGCCTAAGAAATGAGAAGAATCAGTAATAATTACCGCAGGTAACTAAATCAATATGATAAAAATAGTAAAAATCCATAAGACAATATGAAACAATATGATAGAAAATATGAAGCAATGTTTTAAACATACTCAGACACACACATATTGCCTTCATATATATATATGTGTGTGTATGTATATATGTATGTATATACATATGAATATATAGCAAATTTTTCATTTTTTTTACATAATATGAAAAAGGCAGTTGCCATTTATGTTGTATCAAAATTTCATGATGAACAGACCAACAGAAATATACGGAGCACCACCAGTGACATCATGTATAAATAAAAATAGTGCGTGACTTAGTAAGGCTTGGGAATGAGATGATTAAGTCGTGGCCACGACTTAGTAAAGCGTGGGAACGAGATCACGCTTCCACTGGTTCCATTGACTTACATTAAAAGTACAGTATGTTTTTTCCTTCTCCTGTAAAGTTACCATTTTGGAGATACAAGGTTTTCTCCCGACAACAGAGATATGTATGCACGGCCTATGATACAGACACAGACACACACCTTCATACATGTGCAAACACATACACATATATATACCTACATGTACGCATACATATACATACATATAACAAAATCTCAGATGTCCGTAAGCGTTAATCTATAAAAAAGATGAGTTCAGTGGGTACGCCCTCAGAAAAGACGGTTCTTCAAGGTGTCTTTAGCAAACACAGTGGTTCTACGCAGCACCATAAACACTCAAAGAAACATTTGCATGCTTAAATGGTTCTTTGCATTGTGAAAAGGTTCTGTAGATTGATGGAGAATGTGTTGAATATAGCACCGAATAATGATCTGCTGTGGTTATGATGTCAAGCTTTCCAAAAGGTTCTATACAGAACCATATAAAACACATTCTCCATCAATCTGAAGAACCATTTCACCATGCAAAGAACACTTTAGTCATGAAAAGCCTATATAGGACCATTTGTTTAAATGTTTTAAGTGCTCAGGCAGGGCAGGAGTTATATGAGCATGCAGTGAAGTGTAAGTTCAAACTCTGACAGCACAACTTTGCACATACTGAAGCTTCTGGAGAGCTTTTGCAGGTAAACCAGCAAATAGTGCATTACAGTAGTCCAGCCTGCATGAAATAAGTGCATGTCTGTTTAAGGTGTTTTTGAGTTGTTTGGTGGACTTCGACACAGTGTCATGTTGCTTTCAGGAAGTGAAAGTGCCTCACTAAATGCAGTCTTTCCTGATGGTCAGGATGGCTGATGATAACCTGGAGGAGAGGAGTGTGGAGGTTTTGGAGATCCCTGATAATGTGGACGACGATCTGCTGCTGCTTTACTTCGAGAACAAGCGTTCTGGAGGAGGAGCCGTCATTTCTCTGGAGAGGAGCGGAGACAGAGCTCTGCTAGTGTTTGAAGAACCTGAGGGTGAGAAAATCTGCTTTGGACTAGGGCTGGGCGATATGGCAGTAATGTTACATCACGATACTTCAAGACATTTTATATGTACATTTTATACATGTAAAAAATCCTACACTCTCAGAAAATAAGGTAGCAGACTGTGACTGGGTCAGTGCCCCTCCTGTCACTGGGGTGGGACCTTCAAGGGTCCATCTCAGTACCTTTAGTCAGGGAACATAACTGAACCATAATCCACTGAAATGATATGTTCTAAGCTGTACTGACTCCACACACCCCGTCTCGTCTCCAGGCTTTTATTTTACTGTTCTGTTTTAAAACATTCGGTTATGAAAAGGTACAAATACGAACTTTTCACCTGGAAACACTTATTTAAGGTTCACAATCAGAGCTTAAAACCACTGTTGGAGCTTTGAGGGAACATTTACACTGTTTGTACCTCGATGAACGAAATACGTACCTTTATTTCTAACAGTGTTTAATAACTACATTAATCATTATTTGGTGTTTTTATTGCAAATACAGTTAAACAGGCCTAAATATGCTCACTTTGTAATGAAATGTATCTTTAAGTACTAATAATATTCACAGTGTGCTCAGGAAATTGTGTATTGTGGCATAATTTATCACAAAAATCGTAAAATATCGTCATATTGCCCACATCTACTTTGATCTAGAGGAAACAACAACAACATTATGTCCCACATTCTTGTGCACACGTTTTACATACTTTAGCTAAAAGGGAAATTCCACTGATTTTTTAAAGTCTATGCATAGTTGAGTGTTAGAGAGCAGTTTGGTGTGAAATGGTTCAGATGTCCTTACAGTGGTGGTGATAGGAACCAGGGGTCGCCATGACTACAACACAAATATAGTCATTTTATTTACTATCCAGAACCACCAGTGAACCTACACGAGTCTTCTGAGTTTATATGGAATGTTGATGATGGAAAATAGTGGAAAATCTGAAATAATAAGTTTTCTTTGGGGACTATTTTGCCTCACAACACCCTGCATATTATAAGTGCTTCACATGTCAGATTCCTGTCACCACCACTGATACCTTTGTTTTGCTACACTATTCAAATTTAATTATGCTATTACATATTTAATTACATAGTAAGTTCGATTTACTTTCTGTGTAGGTTTGAGGTGCTTTTGTTAACAAATGACAAGAAAACAGGCCAAAAATGTAAAGGAAGTTTTTCAGTTCCACAAAACAAGACACAGCGGTAACTTTTCATCAAATACAGTGACTTCTAGAGGTTAATGTCTTTGTTTTGGGGTGATTATGTTGTTGTTATTGTGTTTATTACTTCTGTAGAGTTTATTATTGCTATTATGTGTCTTGCATGTGGACAGTCTTATGTAAAATTTGTACACCCCAGTCAAATTACGTGTTTCGTTGATTTTCCAAATGAACAAACAGAGAATGAACTAAAATGTGCCATAACGTTTTTTCACAGGCCACATTTTATGTTTTGTAATTTACCCCAATGTGTTAAATTCAGTAAATAAACAGTAACTGTGTATTAAAATGTGCTGATGTGTGTCTCTGTAGAGGATGTGTAACTTATTTACACTCAGAAAATCAACACAACATGGGATTTTACCGGGCGCACAAACTTTTGCACACGACCGTATAGCTGTAAGTATTTGCACCTGTACTGATCATGATTACGGCAGTAAATGCGTTTATTTTATTCACTAGTGGCTGCGAGAGTCGTATCTAAAGGCTCCCACAAGCTCAGTGATGCGGAACTGATAGTGCGGAGGAAACCCCCAAAGGATCGTGGGAAGTTTCTGCTGCGGGGGCTCTCCTCCAGCACCAACCCGGAGTTGGTGGAGCTGTACGTGGAGAACCTGATGGGAATCAACTCTGATGATTACACTCTGTACCCCTCAGCTGGAAAAGACCTGGTCCTGATAAACCTCCACACACCTCTTTCTCAGGGTGAGGCACTAATACTCAACTTTATAACTCTATTTATTAAAAAACCTTCAATGGAGAAAAAATATATATCTGCAGTATTCACACTTTAACCCCAGAAATGTCAGAATTTAAATATTTTGTGATGAGTGCAGCAAATCGCTGTTGTATTTCTATATATTTCCACTGTTTCATGAAAACTTCAAGTTCAAGAGCTTCGCGAGGGTCTAAAAGGTGTTATATTACTAATAATACAAGAGTTAGTTTCGGCCACGCAAGCTGATTGGTTGAGAAGCGTTCTAACTGTGCTGTTATTTCACCATAACATCACGTTTTTTTTCAAACACTGAATCACTCCGCTGAGACGACTCTGACAGCTGCAGGAGACGCTCAAGACATTTGAACGTTTTTACTTCTTACTTTGCCACAAACAGAAAATGGACACTTTTAAGATCACATTTGACCGACAGCCGATTTGGTCAGACTCTGAAGATGAGACGACACTAAATTCCCAAACTGTCATCACCACTGAGCAGCTTTTCAGTCGGCAGCTGTGACAGAAGAACAGCTGAACAACCTGGAATCAGCCAGAAATGAACCCAATACCATTCGCCAAACGTGGAGTCTGATCTTCAGAGTCTGACCAAATCAGACTGAGCCATAAA